ATTTTCAAAAGAATCAATAACCTCTTTATTTATTGTTAGTTATTTGTTAAAGTGGTTTATGGATTATATATCTTTAATATATTTACATCTCTTACAACTTTTTTTAATGCATTTTAAGCTCTTTATATGTCTGCTTTGATTAAATCAGTTCATTTTTTGTCCTATTTGCGTTTTTCCCCTTTTTTGTTTTTTTTATTTTGCTTCTTTCTCTGGCGACGTGCAGTCTGAAAGTTTTTCTTCTTGTCTGACGGAGTTTTGTATTTCGATTTTCCTCTTTCTTTCTTTTCGAGGAAGCATTTTTATTAATGAAACAACGCTGTGACAACACAGACAGCTAAAGAGAGGGAGAGATTGAGAGTGGCGAGAGAGAGACCCACAAGTACAATGTATAAATATTATGTAAACACGCAAACAATGAAGTGATTTGTTGCTACTTAAATTTAGCCCCCGAGAGGGAAAGCAGAACAACAACAACAAAAGCAGCAGTAACTGAGGATGCTGAAAAGCTGCAGACACACACTTCTAGATATAAATATAATAGGGACAATTGTGGTCAGGATAATAGGATTGCCAGTAAGGAATTAATTATAGAGTAATTATAAACCAGAGACTAGATTTAAAAAAATGAAAAATATTTAATTTTATATGTTTTATACTTCATTTTTGTTGGTTAATGACTTAATAACTTAAAACTTAATAATATGGAATACTAATTAAACCTTTAGAAAATAGAAAAAAATCAAAAGTATGTTATTAAAAGTAATGTATTTATAATTATAGTAGAAATTCTCATTATTTCTTGCTCTAAAATAAAATCTTAAGAATTTACAATAAAATACCTTTTTCAAAATGTAAAAACACCACTAAGAGATTTGAAATCAATTAAAAAGTCCCCCAAAAGTATGCTACAAAATGCGGCAGCGGTGTATAAGTATGCATGCGCCTAGGAAAATGTGGAATTAGTTGGAAAAGAAAATCAGAAAAAGCAACAGAGCTGGGAAAGAGAAAAAAATTGAAAGGAAATATTTGAGTGTGTCTGTGTGGTAAAGCGGCTGTGTGTGTGTGTACAGGCGCAGTCGCTGTAAAAGTAGCAAACAGTGCCCAAGGCGCTCCCCCAACGACCGACAGTAAGAGAGAGAGAGAGAGGGGGGGCTGCATTTCGGCCCTGTTACCAGCTTGTTTGCCAACACTTGAAGAAAAGCCAAGAGAAATGAGGGAAAAAGAATAGATAAAAATAAACCCTTGGTATCGTAAGAGTCAGGATTGGCCACCTGAGAGGCGGCCGCTGCAACTGCAACGGTAAAGCTAATGCTAATGCGATGGTTTAAGTGGGCCTAAGTGGAAATCCAAGTTAAAGTTAAGATTTTAAGCCCAACAACAGCGGCTCCTTGATGTCTGATTGAAAAACTGAACGCTAATTGGGAAACAATAGGACTTTAGAAATCAAAGAAGAAATTGATTTTAACCTTAAACGGGAATATTGCGTACTTGAAGTTTATCTAATTATGGCTTTCGCGTTTATTATTATATTTATTTATTATTTAAAATTATTAATATATAATTCACCATAATTCTAAATAATTTAAAACTACATTTCTCTGGCTAATTAAAATATGTCCTGCCTTTGGTTTTAATTCACTTTGTTTATTTGCTTGAAATTATTCCATAGGACATCACTCGCCCTGACACAGACTTTATGTATAAATAGAGAAAGCGTTTTTTGCTGAGCTTAATTCACTTTAGATGCCACTTCTGTCTCCTCAGCCCCCTTGGTCTCTTCTACTCAGTCTCAGTCTCAGTCACAGTCTCAGTCACAGTCACAGTCTCCTCCTTTTCCATCTCTTTTATATATTGCAATCCTTTCTCCTTGGTGGCAACTTTTCCTGGCCGCTATTTCTAGTTTTTATTTCTTGGTTTCACTTGTTTTTCTTTTTGCTTTAGCTTTTTTTTTTTAATGCAATTTGAACAAATTAAAAAGTAGTGCGTGTGCCGCAGGTGGAAAAGTGGGCTGGGAGCCGGCTGCAGCTTCATCATCATCTTTGTTGGTTGGTGGTCGTCCTCCATCAGAATTTGTTACGCTTCCTGAACTTGCTCGGTGCCTTCTGATAGTTTTAATTAAACGCAATTGAGTTGCTTTAAAATTTGTTAAGAAAACTGTGAGTTTTAGGAGTGGGAAAATGGGAGAAAAGTTGGGGTTTGAGTAATAAACATATTTATGCTTTGAAATAAATATAAATTTGTTTTTTTTTTAATATATTGATACTATTTCCTCTCAGAACTATATATTTTCTTGAAGCTATTGCTTTATTTGTTCTTAAATAAGAATCGGTGACTAAAACCCTTCGCAAGGCACTGACTGTGGGGGTGGGTGGTCACTTTAGCCCTGTTTTAGCCACCTAAGGCCAGCCTCTGTCTCCTACGCTCTCTTCTGTCTTCTCATTGTTAAATCATTTCAATTATGGTTTGAACTAAAAAGTGGCTACTCGTGGCTTGGGTCAATAGGGGGCAAAGGATGGCCAGGATATACTACGATAGAAAAAGAGAGAGAGAGTATAGTTGCGATAGTTGAGTAAGCCGCTCAGACAACAACTGAGGGTCCTTTAATACCACCCACTCGCCCCTCTCTCTGTTGTTATTGTTGTTGTCTATACAATTTCTATACAATCTCTACGCAATTCCTCTTTCTCTTATCCTTAACAAGGCAGAAAATAAGGAAGCCCTGGGAGGAAGGCCAGGATATCAGGGAGGGATGTGTCCTTTCAAAGGCAAGAATGCTACTCGAGTGGGAAACAAAATAAGTAGGAAAAAAAAGTTGCCCTGCACTTAGAGTCTCCTTTATGTATTATGATGTGTTCGTTCTCTGTCTGTGTGTGTGTGTGTGTGTGTGTGTACAAGTGTATCCATAGATGTGTGCAATAATTGTGCATTGATTATCATAATATTCTCGCAGCGCCATCAAAATTGCGCAGAAAATCACTCGTCAATCCGGCAGTTTATCCGTGCATCAGTACATCAGTCAGTCAGTCGAATGGAACGAGTGTGTATTTGTATCTGTATATGTATTTATTTATATCAAACAGATAAACAATACGGCTGCGAAAATGAAGCTGGAAAGTAAATGAAGCGTGGTTCAGGAAACGTCAAACGCGGAGGGTGCAAAATATATATTTTTTTTTTCGGGGAGGTTTAAATCGGGGGCTTAAGTTTATTCACTTTAAGGTCGAAATGTGTTCATTAAAATCTTAAAAGAAAAAAAATTCTTAAGCTAGAAATAACAGAAAATTTGAATATTGATAAAGTAATCAATATTTTAATGCGATAAATAAAGACTCTATTTGATTAGTTAAACAAAAAGAATTTCGAAAAACCTATTTTGGCTATCTTTTGTTAATATAGATATTTTAACATTAAATGAAATGTTTACGATATTTGCAATATGCGATTTATATCGATATTTTACATTTACACCAATTTGTTAAACCTATTAATTTTATTTAATTTTGAGACCTAAAACACTTTCTTTAGTTCAATTTAAATATTTAAAATTAGAATGGTTAATGTCTGACTTTTCCTTAAATTTTCCCAGTTGCAACACCCAGCAGTGCTAGTTTTTCCTTTATTTTTCACTATTTTTCCTGGCTGTCAACACTGACCGTTGATCCATCATTTTGGAGCCACGTGTCTGTCAGCTGCAGTTCCTCAGTTTTACATCCTCCCCTACTTTCTCTGCCTGTCAGCAGGACTTCCGGTTCCGGCTCTCAACTCTACTCTTTCTCTCTCTCGCTGTTTCTCTCAAAAATTTAACTAATTAAATTGATAAACCAGAGCAAACAACAAATATAAACAAAATCGAAAAACAAAACCGAAACCAAAATTAAAATCGAAAAAAAATTACCAAAACAAATATAAAACAATGAGTGCGCGAATTCCCAAGAGAATATAATTCTCTAAAAAAAAATTAATATAAAAATATAAAAAAAAACAACAGAAAACGAAAACCAGAGATGATTGCCACTCTGTTCATCATCTTTGCATTTATACGGGCCTTTCCCTGGAGCCGCAAACGGGGCCGGCCTGCCCTGGCCCTAACCCTTATGCCAGACGGCGCCGAGGATGAGGAGCACCAGCACCAGCAGGATCAGCAGAAGCGGGACAATAACAATCGACCGCGACCCTCCATTTCCCTGGGCAATGGCGAGGGCATGACTTCCCGGAGCCGCCGCAAGTCCTCCAAGTTCCATGAGGTCACCTTTAGCGGCAGCGTTGGAGGCGGCGAAAGCGATGGCGATGGCGGCGGCGGCGGCGGTGAGGTCACCAATGGCGGTCTGGTGGAGATGCCAGCCAATGGAAAACGTCACTCCCTGAGCACCACCAGCAACTCCAGCTCGGCGCCCTATCGCTACCTGAGCGGCAGCAGTCGATCCCGAGGATCTCGTGGCGACTGCCACGAGTATTACCAGTTGCAGCAGCATCAGCAATCCTCATCCCTGTCCAATGGCAACCGGATGCGTGGCATGAGCCAAAGGAGCGATACCATGGCCACCGAGGCCGAGGGCGAAGACTTCGAGGTGGATCCCATGGACGAGGACGATGAGGATGAGACCTATGACCGGGAGACGGAGGAGTTCTATAGCAATATACAGGATGCCACCGGCACAGGGTCCAGTAGTCGCAGCAAGCGCTCCTCTCTCTTTTCCCGCTCGGATAGCTCTGCCACAACGACCTCGTCGAGTGGCGGCGGCACCTTTACCGGCGGCAAGCGAAGATCAGCAGCCTCTATTCTGTCCTCGTCCCTCTGCTCCGATGTGATGATTAGCGATCGAAGGAGCTCCACGGCCACCGAGTACAGTGTGAGATCGGTTACCACTGGCGGTGGCAACACGCAGCGCAGATCCAGCGGAAGGATACGGAGATATGTGTCCAGGATGACCATTGCGGGAGCCAGGAGACGCACCACGGGCAGGTAACGAGTCATGAGTCTCTTAGAGTCTTTCCAAGAATTTTTATTAATATACCAAAAGAAAAAAGCAAAGAATTTACATCTAAGTTAAGTAGTTATTTAAGAGCCATTCTCCTGCTGCCACTGCTCGTGCTTGGCCAACAGCTTCTGTCCCAGCGGACGGACCATCTTGAAGGCCTTCTCCACATTGGCCTCGCTCATGGCCTGTGAGTCCTTCGCAGCTCCAGGGACCTTACTGGTGGCACATCTCACCCGATGCATGCTGACCTCCTTGCAGGCCAGACGTATCTCATCTCCGGTGAACTGATCCGAGATCTGGACCAGATGCTCGAGCAGCTTGGGCGTCATGGAGATGCTAGTGCCCAGCAGGCGACCAATGAGGCAGCTCCTCTCCGCCTGATTGGGCAGCTGGACCAGTAGTTTCTTTTCGAAGCGCCGCAAAAAGGCCTCGTCAATGTCCCAGGGCAAATTGGTGCTGGCCAAAACGAAGACACCCTTCAGGGTATGCTCCATGCCGTCCAGCAGCTGGAGCAACTCGTTCTTAAATCGCTTGGAACTCTCGTGATCCGTGACCCTGTCCCTCTTGGAGGTCAAGCTCTCAATCTCATCCAGAAAGATGACAGACGGAGCCCTCTTGGCCGCCATGTGAAAGAGAACGCGCAGAATTTTCTCCGATTCGCCGCGCCACTTGCTCACCATAATGCTGGCCGTGATATTGAAGAAGGTCACCTGGCCGCGGGTCTCCGAGTACAAGGCCTTGGCCAGGAAGGTCTTGCCACTGCCCGGCGGTCCATGGAGCAGCAGGGAGCGCCAAGGCTTCAAGCCGTGGGCAAAGAGCTGCGGATACTCGATGGGTGTGAGCACTGCCTCCTTGATCAGCTCGATGGCCCGCTGATTGCCGCAGACATCCGACCAGCGCAGATTGATCTCCTCGCGCAGTATGGAGGTCTTGACCAGCTCGGCCAGCGATTGCCAGTCCATGGAGGCGAACAGCGAGTCATCGCCGCCCAGGTGGCCGTGCTCTATTTCGCCCACTAACTTTGACGAGGCATCGCTCTCCGCTGGCGTCTCCATTTTCCTGATCTGCAGAGGATTATTGGCATTATCCGGCTGGGACTGTTGCTGGGCATTAGAGTAGCAGCTGGGATTCAGGTTGACGGCAGCTGCCACCTTGGCTGCGCCCACGCCCATATGCCAATTGGCCAGGGAACCGACCTCGGTGTTCTGTGCCTTTCCAGGTGGCTTTTCTAGCTTGTCTTTTTCCTTTTCCTGCTTGGGCTGCCCCTTGGCCGCCATCTCCACCTTGATTTTGGGCCCAACTTTCTTGAGAATCTTGGGATACTTGCCGAACTTCATGTTGAAGAAGCTGGCATACTCCAGATACATGCCGTCCAGGTCGATGTTGTCGCACAGCTCGTACTCCTCGGACAGGCTGCCCTCGGACTTCAAGGCCTCGGCACTGGAGTAGAAACCGTTCTCCACCAGGTAGCGGTGCATCAGATACATGATGTTCCGCCGCCGGGTGCTGAAGTTCCTCACGTCCTCGCACAGGGCCTGGGCAGCTGCCATGGCTGTTACGCCGTACTTTCCCTGGGTCTTCATGTCAAGTTCTCACTCTCTCTATCTCTCTTTCGGTTTATATTTCAATAGAAAAATGTGGCATTTAACACTAGAAAAAAATGATGTAAAGAAAGTACTTGTTATACTCGGCAAGAGAGCTAGCAATTTTTCCGTATTTACAGCTGGAAAATCGTAAATTATTTGACTCTTGCTGGACTGACAGTTTACAGGGTTGTCATAACGAAGGGCAAAAGGGTTGCCAGGTAACGCTTAAAATACATAAATATATTCTTGCCTTTTTTTTCTGAATTTCTTTTTTACCCCTGGCAACCGCAGCAAAAGTTGAAATGAAGAAAAATGGGTTGGCCGGAAAATCTAGAGAGAGAGAGAGAGAGAGAGCGTTAAGAGTGAAGGATTTTTCTTCTTCTATTTTTTTTTAGATCTGCTTGCACTAATTAAAATTGCGAAAAGAACCTGACGAGAGCAAAAGACCGAAAAGGGAATTAGCAAAAATAAAATAAGCTTATTTTTATTTCGGAATGAGATTAGCAGAGGGTGGGGATTTGTGGTAAATTCGTGTTTTATTTGGTCTTTGTACTTTGCCTTTTTCTGTGGAGTGATTATTTTTAAATTTCTTATAAAAAATGCAGCTATATGTATTAAATATTTAATTATTTAAGGTGGTTTCTTTAAAGCTCTTTTATTTATTACATTTCATTTCCTTTATTTTAAATTTCTAATCGAAATTAAAATATTGTAATTTTTTACCTTACAAATCTTTATTGTTATTTAACTCTTTGTACTTAAATACCATGCTAAACACCTTAAATACCCCGAAATATGGGTAATTTGTTTACAGTGTAGTCGATTTAAGCCTCAAAAGCCCAACCTAACCCAAATTTGCCGTATCAGTTGGCCAACAATTGAACGCCACTCAATTGGTTAGTGTACTTAATTGTTGGTTGTGCATTTCCTCCCACCTTTGCCCACCCAGCCATCTGCTTTTCGCCTGGTTTTCTCCCACTTCTCCGACCTTCCGCCCCTGGCTTTTCCATCCCGCAACATGCTCAATTTGGCGAGAGATGACGGCGACAGCTGCCGAGCAGGCTGCGATGGTTAATCAAATGCACGACGCAATGAAATGAAAATCAGCGGATGCTGCCCTGGCCACACACACACAAGCACACACACATATGCAGGGGCACACGCGCACGCACAGAGGGGCCACGCCCACTCAGGTGAAATTATGCAACATGCACATGCACAGCATCCCGTTGGCCTCCTCAGTTTTCCTTGCCTTCAAGGAAAAAAAAGAGACGCATACACGGGGAGAAAATTGAAACAGTTTCTTATATTTGGGTTCTTAAAATTTCTTAAAAATTATTTTACATATTTCAAAATTAACTGCGTGATATGAAATCATATGAACAATGCGCTAAAAATTACGCTTTTACATTTAAGACACCTTTTAAGTGTTTTAAAATCTCTACTTTTTATAAAGATAGTGATTTATTATTATTATTATTATTTTATTATTATTTTTTACTGTGTACCTGACGAAGGTGGCTGCACCCACTAAAGTGGGTGGTTGGTTGGTTTTTCGAGAAGGGGCTTGCGGCTGTGCCCATTTCATTCCGGCTCGCAATTTTAATTTGGTTTTTGTGCCCCCCGCACCCTCTTCTTGCCACCCATCTTCCATCAGCTGGCCGTGTGGCAGTCAGTCTCAGGCTTTTGTTAATGGCCTTGTGACAGTTTTTTTCACTCTCTTTTCCTTTTTTTTCACTCAACTCCCCCTAGGCGATGCCTTGCCTTCATCTTCGGTTGCAATCGGCAGCATTTGCCTTTCGGTTTTGCACTTTGATTTGGATTCATGGTCTAAGCTCGGGTTTGGATTTTTTTTTGTTTATATTTTCTCGTTTTTCGTTTATTCGCTTTTCTGTTTTGAAATTCTTTTCGGGTTTCCATTTGCTTCAAGGTCCTTAAATTAACGGTATGTGGGCATGCATGCTTGTGTGTGTTGTGGGAGTGAGAGGCCACTTACCACTTGCCCTCGAAATGCTTGAGAGAGAGAAAGAGGGAGAGAGTGAGGATCCTTTAAAATGAGTGCCAAGGATTCTTTAATTTTTCAAAGCGATTTTAGGCCAATGAATAATTTATATAGTTAAATATAATCAGAAATATAAGGTTTTTAAAAAACCACGTTTTAAACATTTTAGAGATTTTTTAATGTAAAATAAAAACCATTAAAAGTACATTTTTATTTACCATAAAAGGATATTCTATAGATATTATATAAATAAAGAGAATATAAAATTCAAAGCTCAATCTAGGTTGCTTCTGAAATAACTAGAATTTTTAAAACCCTAGAATTAAAAACCTTAAGGATTAAAAAATCTTGAAGACTTCAGAATATAACCATCATTTTATCCCATTTCTATAGTCCAAATGTTAATTATTTATAGAAAAATGTAAAACATAAAGTTCTTATAATATAATCCTATAATTGATTCAATCTATTAAAATAAAATATATATTAAAGTCCTTAAATACTTTTGTGTTAGTATTTATAACTCTTTGTTAACAAAATCGATCGCTTAATTGGTTTTAACTTGCAGCTTCAATTATAGTTTACAAAATATCTGAAATTTGCTCTTTGTTTTGTTGCCAGCTTTTCAATGGAATTTCCCTGCCAAAGGCACTCGCACACTCACACCACACCAGCCAACACCCGCAGACACTCATTAAGTATGTGGGGGCGTGTGAGTCTCAGTCTGAGTGAGTGTGTGTGTGTGTGAGTTGCGAGTTTAACAAACTAATTAAGTTGGGCGTTGAGCTTAGCGCTCTCTTTCGGTGAAAAGTTGAAGGGAAATGAAAGGAAAGACAAGTAAAGGGGGCAGCCTTTTGTCTATGGCAAACATCTATGACGACACACACTAACACTTGTGTTGAACACACACGCACACTGCACAGTGGAAAATGCTTATTAAAATATAATTTATTTTTAATTTTAATTATTATAATTTTGTATTTTGGTTATATCATTTGTCAGCTCAATTTACAGTTTAAAAATCAATTGTTTTTAATTTTAGTAATTTTTAATATACTTCTAATGTTAATTTAATATTTTAAAAAATTATTGGAACCTAAATGCCTTGAAAATAAATTCATAGTAGCTGCATAGACTCTTTATCGAATAGTTTGATTTTTATAATATTTATTTTTATTTAATATTTAATTTATATTTCTCTCAGTGTCTTGACACCCACACAAAGCCACAGCGCTGACTCGCACACACACACACGCAATCAGCATGCGTCGTTCATTTATTTGCACATATAATTAGGCGCATGAAGAGCTGCCGTCGGGCACACTTCCGCTTTCCTCGATTATCCCTCCGATTCCCTAGCTCCTTCTTGCTTCTGTGCCAACCCCATATCCTGGCCACACTTCGTGTCCTTACCCTCGGCCCCTTATGCCATCACCATCTCCCTTTTCAACAACAATGCCAATCTTCCACCAGGCAGCCAGCCAGCAGCTACTTTCGCCTTCATCCGGCTTGAGCTGCGGCTCGAGTGCGACTGTGTGGCTTAAAGCACGTCACAGCTTAAGCGAAGGGGAACCCCCTGAAGCGCACTAACACACACACACCGTCTCCACCCTTTTGGGCCATGTAATTGCGTTCGGGGGGCGCCTGCAAGTATGCAACTAAAAATAATGAAAGTTTAAGAGTTTGTGGAAACGTAAGGGAATACTCTGTAATTAAATGTTAAAAAATTATAGTATGTTTTAAAATATTAATAAAAATGTAATATATATATATACTATATATATACAATATAAAATAATAAATATTTAAAAAATTAAAAAAGGATAACAAAGATGATTTTATTTAAACAAACTTAGAATAAGTGTAAAGAGAATCTAGAATATCTTTTCTATATCTATTTACAAGAATATCTCTTTAGTTTATACCCAGATTATTCAGTTATTGCTGTCTTTTCCTTAGAGTATTTAACGGAATAAGCCATGTGTGGGCTATGCCAGGCATGTGTCTCTATGTGGTTCAAAGTTGAGTGGCATTTGGTGCACCCCCAAACTTCTATGCTTAAGCCCTTCTTCCTTAACCCCTTTCTACTTCTTAACCCCTCCTCCTTCTTAACACCTCCTCCTTCTTAACCCCTTGACCCCCCCCTATTCAATTGAATCTCGTTTAGTTGTTGTTGCCACTTTTCGCTGCATTTTGGTGAATTTTGTGGCAATTTCCCGACCCTTTCGCTTAGTGGACACTTGGAGAATTATTGTCCTGCTCGCTTATCTTTTGTTTCTATTTTGCTTTTCTTTCCTTCACGCTTTTCATGTTTGTTTTCTGCTGTTTGTTTTTTTCTTTCTTTTTTTTTTGCTTTGTTTTGTGCCCTGCTTCTGACGCTTTATGAGTTTGAGTGTTGTTTTTTGTCCTCTTTATTTTGTTTTTTGTTGTTTTTCTTTTTTTTTTCGTGAGTGTTAAGACAGGTCCTTGGGATGTCAGGATAAGCAGGCGCCAAGTGTTCTGTGACTTTGAAGGGAATGAATGCGGCATTCAGTGGGAAAATGAATGCATGAGTGCGTCACAAAATAACTTAGTAAATATTGGAGGGGAAAAAGAGGGATTAAAAAGAGGAGAAAGGCTTAAAAAATGCAAAAGATAATTATAGCAACAGAAAAAATATGATTAACTGGGAAATACTTACAAAAAATGTATCTAAGGGCTTTAAAATGATTTCTATTTAAGTAAAAAAGGTATATAATATATTTAAACTATTTTTAAAATGTATATAAATAATATACACAAATAATGATTTATTAAAATATTTAAGATATATTTATATTTTTTATATATATATATTCATATCGATTTATTTCTGCGTGGCAATCATTTTTAATCAAGGAAAAATCCATTTTCCACAAAGCTTAAACCTCCTAAAAAAATTCAAAAATACAGTTATGAATTGTATCTGTGCGTTTTACAATAAAACATATAAAACAACTAAGTTGAAAACCAAATCAACAAAGTAGAAATTTCCCATTTTGCATTCTCATTCTCATTTGTTTTTGGGCTATGCAAAAAGTATAAAACAAATAAAAAGCAAGTTCCAAAGAGTGTCCATAACACCATTAAAAATACAAAAACAGCAGCCAAATATACAGCCAAAAAAAATATAGAAGGAAAACCGAGGGGAAAGCGGGAAAATGTATACCCGAAAACTGAAAACTGAAACCGAACTAAAAACTGTTTGCCGCCGCTGCTGTTGCCATAACTTTTGCTGAAAAGCGCCACAAAGTATACCAGGGAAACTGGCGACATTGTTGCTCACCCCTAGCCCCCATTTTCAGCTTTTCCACCACCCTGAAAAAAACAAAAAATACAGCAACAAAAACAGTAGCAACAAGCGGCAACAACTTTGTGCCAAGTTTACTTAATGACCCCGATATAAATTTTACTTAAAACATCATTTTTCTTTACGACTTTGCTCCACCAGCCCAGCCTTTCAAGGCGAAACTGGACGTTAAAAAGGGGGCGTGACCAGGGGGTGACCAGCTGTGTGTGTGTGTTTGTGTTGTGCAAGAAAGTTGTGGCAAGTGTCTTGGCCAAGCGTTTCCATTTGTCCTATTAGGAAACGAAACTCGAAATTCGAATGCCACTAACAACGTTGTGTCAATGAACCATGGCTACACGGCAAGAAATAATTATGGAAAGTAAGATATAAGAATCGGAGGGTCTAAATTTATCACAAAATATATTTTAAAGAATTTCGAGAGATTAACTTTTAGAGATTAAACATATTTCTTTAATAAGTATCTTTCTAAGTTGTTAAATAATTATGATCGATTAACTAGATTAGATATATTTCGATATATTCCGATATTTTTCGATATATTTCGCTATATTCCGATATATTTCGATATAATCCAATATATTCCGATATACAATTTTATTTAAATTATTAATTAAATTTCTAAGCAATTTTTTTATTACTATAAAACTGTCTCAAGAAACTCCCTTGTCAAAACACCCAAATAAAAATTGCTTCTTCAAAAAGCTGATTAAAGGTTTAAGATCAGAGAATGCATAAGCCCGCCAGCGGTAAAGTGAAGTGCCCAAGATGAGCTGGCAGTTTTATGAAAGTTTCAACTTAAAACATATACATATATATATAGAAACATATATATTTTTTGTTATATTTTTTAGTAACTCCCCAAAAACGCTGGTCTGCAATTGACTCAACTTTCCTTTCACATTTTCGGTCCGAAACGGAGTGACTTTTGCTTTCGCATGTTTCTTTTTCTTTTCTTGTTACAAGAATTTTTCCAGCCAGAAGAACTTTTAGCCGCAGACAACCGAACGGGGGAAAAAAAATGGAAAGCTGGCAGGCTGTTAGGAAAAAAAAAAGAAAAGGGCAAACGCGGAAAATGTCTAACGAAATGAAACTTTAAAAGCGCCTTGTTAGGCGTGCTTCCGTTTCCGGTGGCATTGCCTTCATATTTTTCGTGGATCTTCCTGCCCCCTTGCTTTTATTTTCTTTTTTTGTGTGCCTTCTCCTTTGAGAGAAAAGCTAACCAGATAATTTGACAGCTAATTTCGTTAGATTATTTAACGCAGCCTAAGTACTTTTATATATAAAAGGGTCAGAGTTAGGGGTGAACAAATTTATGTACACATCAATTTGTGATTTTATGGGGGAAAACTGGGAAGCTAAGGCTAAATATTGACATTGATATACCAATTTTAAAAGGGAAAATTTAAAAGAAAATTTGCAAAAAAAATTTTCAATTAAATTTACAATAAAATTCTTAACTAATTCTTATAACTTTTTTCTTATATCTCTTTTAGTTTCGATGTAGAAAATGGCCAGGGCGCTCGATCTCCGCTCGAGGGCGGCTCTCCCAGCGCCGGTTTGGTTCTACAGAATTTACCGCAGCGTCGCGAATCGTTTCTATATCGCTCCGATTCCGATTTTGAGATGTCGCCCAAGTCCATGTCCCGAAACTCAAGCATCGCTAGCGAAAGGTAAGTTAAAAGCTATAAAAATCACTATTTTTACCCCCCCTAAAACAATATTTTATTAATATATTTAAGCTTGATTTTGATCACTCTGCCCCCCGCTTTCGATTTGTTTTACTTTTGGTTTTGATTTTTCGGAATGTTACCCATATAAACCTATAAACCTATCATTCAGACAATGATTATGCTGGGCCATTTTCAACACCTTTTTCATGTTGCCAAGGTGGGCTCCACTCCCGAAATTGCTTTTCTGTTCCCTTGACTTTGTTGTGGCATTTTCTTTCCTTTTCCTTTTTATGGGGGAATACTTTTTTGAGTGCCATTAATGTTGTTTTCTTTGTGGTGTTTATCTAAAACTATCTTTAAGTCATTTTTTCGATACTATATCCCCCTATGATGTGTCTACTATTCTCTTTCTCTGCTGTTCTTGGGGTCTGTTCTAAAGGTTATTTGTGATTTTTTTAAATTAATTTTCTTAAAAAAAATGTATTTCAAACTTAAACTTTCTATATCTTTCTATATTAATTTTTTTTGATTAAGAATTCATTTATAAAATTATAATTGCAGAAATTTTTCTTATTTTCTATAATAATAATATATAAAATATATATATAAAATTTATTTTTAAATACAATCATATCTAATTCATTACCTAATTCAGTTTTTGTGGGTTGGTGTTGCGCTTTAAGGAATTTAATAAGACATTTGGCAGGAACTCGAGGGGAAAAGTGATGGCTTTGCCTGGGACTGGGTTGGGGGAAAAGGCTAAATTCCAGACGCACACATGCGAGAAGTGCAACAACTTTCCTACTGGCATCTCTGAACGTCTCCCCCTTTAGGCTTCCCCCTCTGCTCGTGCGGCTTTTCCGCACTCACTCCACCCGCTTTTCCTATGTTTTCCCTCTCGTATCTTTGTACTCTTTGTCACTCTGCCATGGGATTGCTGTGACTTTGCTGGAGGCTTACTGTGGTTTCGGTACAACCACTTTTGCCCCCCTTTGCATTTCACTTTAGTTTTCCATTCCACCCACTTCCTCCTCCTTCGTTCCCTTTTCCTCGTCCCAGAAAATATACATAGTACATATATCTACAGAGCACTGCTGCACTATGGAAAAAATCCTTCTAAGGCAATTGGCCACTCAAAACCTTTTAGTTAATTTGAATGCTAAAATTATCAATGCTTTGAGGTTTGGCATAGATTAAAAATTAGTAAGAAATTGGTTTTAAATTCTAAATAAAAAGTTGCATTTAAATGGGATGTATGTAAAAGCGTAATAAAATTAAATATGAGGCAGGTGAATGAATTTTATTGAAAAAGATATACATTTTGCAACCGAAAACCTTTTAAGGTGTGAATAATAATAATAGTAATAATGTTTATAGAATTAAAATTAGAAAAACAATTTGAAATTATGTTGAATAATATAATTAAAAATTTAGGGGTTAAAATATAAATAAAAATTAAAAGGGAAATGTTAATAATTTATTTATAGTAAGTAGAGTAGTATTATGTCGATACTTGATATAAATAGGAAAATACAATATAATATGGAGTGCAATTTATCGATATATCATATCGGATATTCGTTTTTGATATATCTACCTCCCAAAGTTCGATTAATTTTTTTTTGCAGTGCTCCTTGTCATATGCTCGGCATAGTTTCCTACGGCCTACGGCCTCAACTTCAATTAGTTAGTCTGGGAAAACCGTAACCTCCCCTGGAAAAGCCTAGCCTCTCCCCTCAAAAACCCCTCATTATACATGCATGGCCAAAAACGCGTTATGCAACACTGAGGCCGGAAATGCAGACTTTTTTTTTATAGTTATTTTTCCTTCAGCTTCCCTTCTTGTTTTTGTATGTTTATATTTCTCTCGGTGTGTGCGAGTTTATTTTTTCATTTTTGGCAAGCCTCTCGGCTGCTGTGTTTTTGAGAGCATCCATACACACGCCCCCTTTGCGCCACCATTTTTGGCGATTTTTTTGTTGTATTTTTTCTTATGTGCACTTTGGCAGCAGCAATGGGGCCACACACACACACACACACACACACATACGCTTGGCCATATTATGCACAAAAACAATAACACCTAATTACACATGCAGTTGCAATAACACCAACGACGACGTCGAAGGAGGAGGCTGAGCTGATGATGATCACCATCAAAAGATGGAAATATACATACGAAAAGCGAAAAGTGGGTGGGAAAATTGCAGAATGTGACTGAGGAGAGAAAAGCGAGGAGCTTGCGGGGGGTTGGGAAAATATTTACATTTTTACAGCTATTTTTACAGCGCCAAAAGTGAGCTTCTGCCGCCGCCGTCGCTTTTCTCCTTTCGTTTCTTTTGAAATCTAGAGCGCAAATTATGGTTTTTGCAAAATACAACCGAAAAAAAAAATAAAATCCACTAAAAATATTTGGCACTTGGTATTGAGATTGTAGGGGGAAACCTAGAAAATTGAACTGCGGAAATAGCGCAATTTTTGATGTCTTTTTAAAGATTTGCGTGGATTTGTTCAGAGGTGGAAAATTCAATCACAGGAAGTGATTTATTACAGAAATAATCAAGGGATCCTAAAATAGAATTTTTTTTTCAATTACAGGATTTAAGTTTGTGATGAATTCTTAAATTATTTAAATTTATTTTATATTTTTAAAGGCTTTTGTTTTACAAAAATTAAATAAAACATTTAAAAAATATTTAGGTTTATGATAATTTGATTTCTATTCACATTAATTGCTCAAGAATTTGCTTTAGCTTTAGCTTTTTATTAAAAAATATTGTACTACATTTAGCTTTTATTTTGTATTATTATTAATAATTCATTTTAAAATCTTAACATTAATTTTATTTAACTTTAAGAGAAATATATAGGTTTTTGGTTCAACTCCCAAAGATTTTATTAGCTAGAATTTTTGTAGGCTAACGAAGTAAATACTTAAATTTTCCATTTCATGTATGTGTTTTATTTTTTTTATTTTTTTTGTAGTTATTGTTTGTTTTTGTCTCTGTTGTTGTTGTTTTTGTTGTTGTATTGAGGACTCCCTTTACGGTCAAATGTTTTTGGCAGGCGACAGCAACGCAATTTGCATTTGTTCGGTGAAAACTTTTGTCTGCCTTCAAAGTTTTTCGGCCTGCCACTTTTCCCACCCGATTTATCCACCTCCAACCGAAAAAAAATGCAAGACAAGAAAGTAGGGAATCGACTTGGAAATACCCTAGCTATAAAATATGGCTAAAACATATACAACAATTTGATTAATAATGTATCTTAAAACCAACTGAAATATTGTATTTTTTTTATTCTAATTTTTGTAATATTATATAGTCCTTCGATCTACTTATATATAATCAGTAATATTTTAGAGTTTTAAAACTAAGAGACTAGTTTCATCATTAATATATTTAAATAAAATTGTACTCAATTTTTATTGCCTTGGCCAATCTGCTACCCAAAACAGCATATCCTCTTTAAAGGGTATCAAGACGAAAAGAATCTTTACCTTTCAGCGCACGCTGCGTTTGCTTTCAATCAAGTTGGAATATTTCTTTGGGGCCTGCCACTTTCAAACAATGTTCTTGATGAGCTGTCAATTACAAGCACACACACAACATACACATACACATGTCAGGGAGTAAATTAGGAATGTATATCGAGTAGAAATATCTGATATGATATATCGAAAGATTATATAGCAAAGTTATCATCATGATACTCACTTGATGCTATGATGGCTATGATGGCTAAACTAGCAATATCGCTTGAATATATCGAAATATTCTCAACATATTAGTGCAAATTTCGATATATTCAAGCGATATCGATAGTTTTGCCATCCCTAAAATCGAAAACATTGATTGACAACCCTGTTTCAAGAAGAAATCATAAAGATTTCAACACCAATAACAAATATTTAGCCGACTGTCCGAGGCACCACTCCCGCTGTGTAAATGTCAAGGTCGTCATTTGAGCAAAACAACTCACAATTAGTCATAATATTTTGTTGTCGGGGGATGTTCCTTCTCACATTTTCGGACAGCCCCCCACCCCCAAAAAAAGAAAATGAGAAAATAATCATAACAACAATAATAGATGCAGTTAAGTGGAATGTTTTTGTCGAAAAAAGAAAGCAAAAACATACTTTGGGATAGTATTACCGAAAAGAGAGATGTCTACACTCGGAGGAAACTATATATAAAATACAGAATTGAAAAATATTTTGTTTTTAGGAAGAATAAAGAAAAGTTTCCAAGGAAATCTTTAAAAGTAAAAGGTAGTAGATACATTTGTATAGTAGTAGATACATTTGTATCTTATAGTTTTGATTATCTTTTGACAAAGTTTTTAACATCTTTTTTGGCCATACTTTTTCCCCGCAGTGGAGCCAGACCATTCGTCTTACCGGGAATTGAGAAACAAATCCTAATCCGCAGGCTCTTGGCACAGAAACGAATCGAAATCCTCTTCCTGCTGCCTGCCTGACTGCCTATCGGCAACTTTGGGCCCTGGGCATTAATTTAACCGCAAAACTGTGTCAGGTGTCGCCTTGATAAAGTTTTGTCTACCTCGAAGTCTCAACCCCCCCTACCCCCAGTCATGCAAATGCCTTTGCAATTCGTCCTCGAAGGCGAAAGTTGAAATTGTTGCTGCAACTTTTGTGTGTCGCCATTAATTCCAAAAACTGAAAGCAACAGAAAATTGGAATCGCAATAGGAATCGAGGGAGGGTTGTCCCGGGCCAGGGAATCCTTTTAATTGAGTTACCCAGGCTTCTTTAGGTTGGATTTAGATTTTTGGGTTAAGTTTGCCTCAACTTTGGCCCAAAACTGCATCAGGTTTTGTGGGTTAACGTGGGTTAAAAGGGGTTAACTGGCGTGTGGAGAAACCGAAATGCCGTAACGAAATGAAAATAAATTGAGGTTGGCTTAGATAAAGTGAAAAACCATTGGCTAAATGCATTTGAATGAAGTTAGATTTGGATGAGATTGAAAACATCAAGAAGCTTTTCAGGAGGGTTTATAAAATTTAGAAAAATAAATTTGAGCTTACGCTTAATAGCTACCTTAACTAGTGGTTAAAATTTAGTAAATGCACTTAAGTTAAGTCGGTTGAGTTGGCTAAAAAGCAACAAGAAATTAGTAATGTTTATAAATATGTGAGTGTTTACTCTCAACAGCTTAGATTTACATTTTATCAGTAATAGGACGTTTTTTTCTGGATCCGATTAGCTAACCACTAGATTATGTAAAGTGCCTGCCATTACCTATTTTCTGTACCCCCCTCACCCTTCCTTTGTTTTGGTATTTTCTGCTCAATGACATTTCTACAGAGTTGCAAATGCAGGAGACACAAATGGGTGGAAAATGCCAGGAGAAGGGTATGGGTTGCTTCCGACCATGTCCTTAAATGTCAACACTTCAACTTCGACTTTTTGTGCAGCCAGATTCGCTCTGTCTCTGTCTCTGTCAGTTGCGCCTTCTCTTTCTCTTTCTCTTTCTCCGTTTGTTTGTTTGTTTGTTTTCTTGTTGTGACGTATGGGGCAGGAATGACGTCACTGATCTATGTGGCGGGGTCATTGTCTGCGTCAGCGAAAGTCACACTAGGGGAAGGGAGGGAGGAGGAGCAGGAGAAGGAGGAGGTGGAGCCCCTTTCCAGCGTCCAGTCGACCCCATTTTCCAATTTTCCCACCAGCTGGACACATTCACTTAGCATTTGGCACGTGACGCATCAATTAAGCTCTTTGGGGGTAAATACACAGTGAGAAATTCAAGAAGGAATTATTTATTATTTAAAATATGTTTTTTCATTCAAGAATTTCATTTTGTGATTCTATTTAAATCGAAATATATATTTTTACATTTATTTTCCTGCTGTTCCCCATCACCCAGTGTTCTTTGTTAGCTACTACGTTTCCCCCCCTATATATTTCCCACTATTTCCCCTTTATTTAAACCCTATTTAGTGATTTTCCCATGACTGTTGTCTGTATTATCGTTGTTTATTAAGATTGTAACCCTTTTTCCAGGTTTAAAGAACAGGAAGCCTCTATACTCGTTGACCGATCGTACGTATGCCGAGAGACCCACCTATATCGTTTGTCTCTCTCTCTCTCTCTATCTCTATCTTTCTCTATCTATCTATCTATCTCAATTGTTATGTCTTGCCTGCCTTTGCATTTGATGTTTGTTGTATGTTTTCTTTGTCGTTGTCTGTCCTTTGTGTATGTCGCCCTGCATGCGGTCCTTGTTTAACTTTTTTTTTTCTTGGCACCAAAAAATTATGGTTTATTTCAGGAAAATTATGCAACATTTCAATGGGAAATTTGACGCTCGTTCGATATTGTTTTTGACCTTTCTTCTTTTCATTTTCATTTAAGCAAATTTCATTTCGTTGCATGGTCTAGAATATATTGCATTTATGGTTGGGGATACTGTATTCGATAAGTTGGGAGTTTGTTTATACTTGTAAATATATTTTTTTAAGCAAAAAGAAGTACGGTAATGTATGACAATTATTTTGTTTAAACTTGAAAAAAATATTCTTTAATATATGGGAATTTTAATAAAGTAACTAGCCCGGTTTTTTACATGTATTTATCTTTTGTCAGGACATTATTTATATATTTAGCAACCTACAGTTAACTAAAAAATTTTTTAATAAATAATTTAAGTTAAGAAAGAGTTCGAAATCAATAAACTAATACCTATAGGTATTTATTATTGAAAGAAATATTTAAATAAAATAAATCTAAACATATTTAAATATTTAAATAAAATACATTTAAACTGAAGAATATATTTAATTTTAAAAAAAGGAAATATTTAATTATAATATTTAAATTGAGGAAAATATTTTTTAATATTTTATTTTTTTCAATTTCACAGATACTTTTGATATGTGAATAAATCACATTTCGTGAATTTATAATTTTTTTTAAAAAGAACTGGCAAAGCCTTCTTAGAAAATACCGTCTAGAACAATGGCTCTTCCTTGTGCTCCTCCATTGTCGTCAGTTCACTGAACTCTGAACTTCCCATCTTAAAAAAGTATATATATATATATATATATATATATATATATATATAAATATTTAGACTTGAGTCATCCGTCTGTGCATAATGCTCACATGCTGGTATTATTTGTTGAGTCACTTCAATTTGTCTTCGACGGTCACGAGTTGCAGACCGAATTTCGAATTTCAACCTGGGGAATAGGAATTTCGCACACCGAATGACGCTTTTGGGCAACAACAACAACAAGAACAAAATATAAATAAATAAATTGTAGTATTTGAGATTGCAGGCCAAGCTAATTTAAATATGAAAAGCATTTCCTATTTCCTGTCCCCAAGTGCCAAGGAAAACTCAACCGAAAAAAAGGAAAATTTAGGGAAAATAAATAAAACGAAATAATTGCTGACAGAAGTCAATCAAGGGGAACTTTCGCTCTCTTTCTCTATTCTCTGTCTCTCTCTCTCTCTCTTTCTCTATTCTCTGTATCTCTCTCTCTCTTTCTCTAGTTGCCACATGCAGTGTCGTCGCACCGGGCGTATACGTAACGTACTCGCTCACATTATTCATACGCAGCGTGACACCCAAGAAAAGTTGGCACACATAAAAATAGTGTAGGAAAAATGAAAACGAAAAACCCATAAAATATGGCTCAGCTTCAACTAAATAAAATACATTTTTCCCGTGCATTAAATTTGCTTCGCCTCAGCCCTGCCTCAATTGCCCAGACTAATGCCGGAATATGATTCCTAAACTGAGAGAAATTTTGTGTGTTTTCATCTTGAAATATATATATATTCTGACTTTTGTGGAAGTTTTCACAAAGTATAGTAAAATTATGCACAGCTTTGAATATATAATTTAAATATAAATATTTTAGCTAAACCAAACAGACTTCAACTTTTATTGTTATATATAATCTATCTTTTATTATTTTTATTCCCATTCCTTCAGGTATATCATGTAATTTTCTTAGTGTAACTGTGCGTTGAGAGTGTGTGAGAGCTGTCGTGATTGTGGGCACATAATTTTAGCCTTAATATATATACACTTTTATATATACCACACATGTGCAGGCGGCACACTTTTATATACTCGGATATATAGATAAATGTGCGAGTTTATATATATACATATATATATATATATTTATATGAAAATGCATTGCACATTGCAGATTTGTCATTTACACCCAGGAGCAGCAAAAAAATAGACTTTTTATAGCACCAAGTGCGGCATGGAAATGGAAATGGAAATGCCAGATTGAGAGAGAGGGTAGAGGGATAGAGAGGGAGAGGGAGGCTGTGCCGAGCCAAAAGTGAAATGCAAATTAAGTGCTTTAATATCGGGAACTGAAAGTGCCAGAGTGCAGTCTTCCATGATATGGCCCGCATAAGAAATAAGCCAATAGGCAACGAAATAAAACCGAAATGAACCCTAAATAAACCTTAAATTTACTCGAAATTAACCCAAAATCAATTCCAAACAGTACTTAACATTTAAGAACTATTAAAAAATTATTTAAATTATTTTAAAAAAATTTTATATGAATTATTTATCTCTTATAATTTCAAAAATCTTTTCTATTCAAGACATTCTTGGAATCTGTAGGGCGTCTCCATTAAACCCCCATTTTAATGGCCATCTCAAGCTGTTCTGGTCGAGACTAGATCTCTCTCTCTCTCTCGGCAGCTTATTTGAAATGTGGTTAGAAACTGTTTGATTGCACAAATCCCATAAATCTCCAACTGCACTTCTCGTCGTACCCGAGAGTGTTTATCCCAAATGTTAAGCATTCGACCGAAGAAGCTCTTTTGTTTACGAGCAGGCAACCCCGTGGTTGCGGTATGGTATGTAGTCAGTCACTACAATCGTTCACCCAGTCGGTCATTCAGTCAGTCAGTCAGTCACTCAATCAGTTAGTCAGTCAGTCAGTCAGTCATCCGGTCAATGCAATAAAGGCGGGACTCTGTGGGAGGTTGCACCACTGTTGGTGAAATCAGAGCTAGTTCTGTTCAGTTTGGCGCACGCTGCGTATGAGTAATGTGTGCCCCATATTACCCAGTTATCAGCTTAAGTGGAACGTCTATATGTCTGTACAATGTACAAAAATTTGCCAGTCCAAAATTATTAATAGAAGACTTGTAAAAATAAAGAAAACTACAGAGAAAAAATAAATTTAATTTATAATAAATAATAAGAAATAAATTTAATTTAAATTAAATGTAAATTCTGAGAAATTTGAATTTGTTTGTATATAAAATCAAGAATTCGTTTTTATTTAAGGGAGTTTGTTAATGTTTTAAAATTTGAATTTGTATATATTTATTTGTATTTATTTATATATTTTTTTTATTATTTACTTTTATCAATTTATTTATTTTTTAAATATTTATTTTCTTTTTCTATTAATTAATTTTTTGTTTAATTATTTATTTATTTCTAATTTCTTTTTATAGTAAAACAACCTTTTCTTTCAGTGTGCTCTCTCCGTCTCTCTCTGAAACTTGGCTATTTTTCCTTCTATCATGCGAAAAGATATTAAAATAATTGCCGTATTTAAAAATTGATGTGCGAGTTGTTGTCGTTGTTGTTGTTATTCGACGCTAATGAGCGTTAATCAAATGCCAACAGCTGCAGCAGCAGCAACAACAACAGCAACAGCAACAGCAACAAGAGCAACTAAAATTATTAATACTAACAAGAAACAAGCAGCAAAGTGCCAACTAAAATGCCAATTGAAGGCAGCCGAAAGCAAGAGAGAGAGATGGAGAGAACTACAGAAAGAGAGATGGGTATAGAGAGAGAGGCAGAGAATTTATTAAGCATTAGCGTAGGTAAGTGGGGCTTGTGTGTTGTGTGTGTGTTGTATAAAAATACAAACTAGAGGGGCGGCAGGTATAACACTGCAAATGAAAATTAAATTATTCGAGGTAGCTAAGCTACATATCTCTCTCATTCCGAATAATAATCGCCACGATAATGATGATGATGATTCTGGCCGGGATGCTGAATGGCGATGATGATCATGATGAAGTGCCAGGCAAGGACGCAAGTCCTACAGGGTGATTTTCAGAGCTCATAAACATGAAATTAAATTAATTTTTTACTTTTTGAAGGCTGTAACTTTGCATTATAATGGTTTAAAAATTTAATTATAAGCTTGAAAATAGGAAAATATTACAAAGATTTCAGAATTTCATTTTAAAAAACCTCAAAAAATATTTAAGGCTTCTATAAACAATCAAATGTATCAGTTAATTTAACAATTTAATTAATTTAATTGCTTAAAAATGTTTTTAGTCTGATAAAAGGAAAAGGCTTTGTTTATTGAAATTGTTAATTGATATTTAAAAGCCTTTAATTACTTGAGGAAAATAATTAGAACTAAATTTCTGAATATTCTAAATTCCAACAAAAATTTCAAAAATAAATAACTTTCTTAAATTAGAAATAATTAGAATTAAATTTTTGAATATTCTATTTTCCTCAATTGCTATTATATTTATATATTTAAATTATTGTTTAATTATTATATATTAAATTTGTATTATTATTTCAATAAAGTCCCCTTTAAAACATTTAAAATGTCACCCTGTATTTCAATAATTGAGCAAATGTGTTTGTTGTTGCCTGATGAAGACGAAAAGCAAGCAACAAATTAAAAAAAAAAAAACACAACAAAAATGAAAATATAAATAAGAAAACACACACATTTTCATCATCTCGAAAATGACATAAACACACACACACACAGAAAAGCGAGTAAAAAATATTTTTTTTTAAAATGAATATAATTTGTTTCTCAGCTGCTTTGCTCTCCTCTCTTTCTCTGGCCCTATCTCTTCCTCTGCCTCTCTCGATTCGTCTACTATAATTTTTCTTTTTCACTTTTGTGGATTTGTGTGTTTGGATTCTGTATTTTCTGTATTTTCGCGGGACGCGCTTCATTCTCGGTCAGCGTGCGCTCGTGGAAAAATCTAATTGAAATTAATAATATATAAATAAATGAATAAAAAACAAAGCACACCAAACAATTGTTAAAACTCTTGAACTAAACTCTTAAAACTCAAATATAAAATATCAAAATCAAGGGGGTTTCGTGTGTGTTCCAAGTTCACAAAGAGATATTTCTCCCAGTGGGCCCCAGGGGGCCATCAGTGATCGTTCTTTTTTTGTTTTTTAAGTTTAAGTTTTATAACGTTTATTATTTGCGTGCTTGTGTGAATACAAAATTAAGACAAAATGTTAAACAAAAACTCGGCCTCGTCGCAGTCGCTGCCGCGAGTGCACAGTTTCTTCAACATGATACCCTCGATTCTGCAGGACGATCTGGCTGTCACGATACTTGCCGATCGGGACAACATGTTCTCGATCAAGTCGCACCGCAGGTAAAGCCCCAGGATCATACGTATATAGTATACATATAACCGATCTGTCAGGGCCTTTTATGGCCTGGTGACCAGCTCTCAAAATAGTTCCCCCATACGTGCCAGCGATCGAAATATATGCGAGTGTATTTATATTCCAATTTAATGACACCAAACAAGCTGCCTTATGCTTCAGCGTGTCTTCTATATGCTTTCATTAATTATGATCTATGTCGGTATCCAAATATTTTCATGTCAATATATATTGGCTTGGCTCGGTCTTATTTATTTAACATTTTAATTGGCATAAAATTGAAAAGGAATTTATTGAAATAATAAAATGTTTTTAACAAAGTCTTGTTCGATTCTACTAAAACTTATAATTTTTTTTAGTTAAAAACTATTTAAAAACAAAGGCGTTCCTCTTTGCTTGTCTTTTCTTTTATTCTTTGAAAGCAAATCACATTTCTGGTGACATAAAATTCTGAGAATCTACATTTATTATTATTTTGGCCTGATGTTTCACAAGTTTTTAGGACTAATTGTTTATACGTAAAGCCATTTGTATCAATTATCAAGAACTTGAGGTGTGGAAAGTGTGTGCGTGACTTGTCGTTTGGCTTTTAATAAATAAAATTTCATGTGGCAGAGTGGGAATTAAGCAAAATTTGCCAATATTTATTGGGAATTTTCTGTGCGGGGAAAATTCAAATGTTTAATTGAGAAATGAAAGGTAATTGAAACCACAAATTACTTTTACGGAAATGGGTGTTTTTCTGTGACATATTTCCTTGGCCTTTCTTCCTCAAGAATTTCCCTCACTTAATTTGCAAAATAATTCTCATTTTTAGTTTCGAGACACACACAATTCAGATTCCTTTTATTGCAATGAGTCATGGTGTTTTTCAACTAAAGAGGCGATATTTTGGGACTTTTGGGGGCGTGTGTTGAAAATGCGTCGCAATATTAATAAATTGAAATGGCAACGGGAAAGGCTAAAGAAAATAATAAAGAAATTTTAAGAGACTGACAAATAAGTGAAAAAAAATATCTGTGAGGGAGCACAGCAAGGTTTCCCGGAGTTTTTTCCGCGGGTGAATGATCCCAATTCGTTTGTGAAACTGCATTTGTGGTCATCGATGGATAATGTCTGTCACAACTGGCCGATTTTCATGCTATATGCGACGTGCCAAAAAATCATGAAAACAAAATGCGAAAATTGGCGTTGAAAGAAGTGCACAAAAGCGGGAAAAATACAAGTGAAAAACAAACCACAAAAAAAAAAACAGCAAGGAGAGCCTGGAAATGAGCTGTTGTATGGGGTTCTTTTTTTTATTTATTTCTTTATTATTTTTTGATTGTTAATTTAATTTTTTGTTTTAATTTTTTTTTGCGGAGGTCAATTTAAAAGCCGCTTCTGCATTATTTTTCAAGCTTTTCGCAGGGAAATTGCCTTTCATTTATTTATTTTGACAGATTTTCATTGTCTGGCCATTTGGCTGGGTGGAAAATGAGTGACAAAATTAGCGGTAAAGAAAAGGCCAAATAATTTCCTGGAAAGAGAAAAGGTTGATATTCTCAAATGCAAAATTTAATTACTGGTTAAATAAACCAATTAAAGTGTTTGTTTAATTATAATTAAAAATCTTTGTTCTTTAATATTCTAAAAATATATTATTTTATTTATTTAAAACAGAAAAATTAATTTTATTATGTGAATTTTCTGTTAATTAATTTTCTCCTGCAATTAATTTTATTTCCTTGCTTAATTTGTAACGTCATTGGCAGCGCTGCTTAAGCGTTTTATTTTTTATTATTATTAATTTATGCTCATTTTTTGTTTGTCAACTTTTTTCGGTCATTTTAATTTTCGCTTTTTTTTCTGGTTCCTTTTGTTTTATTTTTGGCACACAGCGCGAAAATTCCGAGGAGGCATTTCCCTGAGAACCCCGCCCCCAAACCAAAGGCCCACGAAAAAAAATTTTTCCCGATGTCCTCCCAGCCCCCGAATTTTCTCCTATATAAATATATGTATATATGTGTGTGTGTGTTTTCCACAATTTCTGTGGAATTTTCAATTGCCAAAATAAAAATGGAAGAGGATAGAAACAAAAACTTGGCCGTCGCCATGGCGTCCTTTCTATATAATATATATATATATATATATATATACATGTGTGTAGGTGTATGTGCGTTAAGGACATTTTACTGACCTTTTTCTTATTGTATTTTTTCTTTGTTGATTCCTTTTCGATTCTCCACAACATTTTGCCATTTAAATTCTAGTCAAAATAAATGCCAAACACACGCACTCGCCGCACACACAGACACAGACACAGACAAAATTAAATAGTTACGAAAAAATAGCGAAAAAAATAAAAATTTAAATAAATAAATAAATTAGACAAAAATTTTCGTTTAAAATTCTTGATGTTATTTATGGTCTTGTTTTTCGCTGTTTTTGGCAATGCATCAAAGTGCCTCCGAAAGTAGTATTTATCCAATGTAAGCGATTTTCCTTGATTGAGCTTTATAGATTTGCAAACACACACTTTTCAATTGCCAGACAGATCATAATTAGCCGGGATATATATCTATATCTTTATCGTTAATTACAAATGAATTTTAGTTATTTTGGTTTGCTATTTAAATTAATATTGACGGACTGCGCAGAGCACACTTTATAGGGGATCGATATTTTTTTCAATGTATTTTAATAATTATTTTTTTAATTTAAAATTTGTACAAGTTATACGAAAGTATTTAGTTGAGAGTTAAATTAAATTGCAACTATCCCGCTTGCACACTCATCCTTGAAAAAGATTTGCGTCAAAATAATATACAAAATATATATATTTTTTTGTAGGTTTTTAATTAATTTAAAATATTTCAGCACTGTAATTTTTAAGGGATTGTAGAGTGTATATATATATTTTTTATACAAATATATTGCAATTTTTGTTGAAATATTTATAAAACAATTTTCATTTGTGACCGTTGCATGTTCTTATACGTCTTCTCTGTTGCTTTTGGTTTTCCCTATGCCTAAAATATGCATAAATATATATTAATAAATAAATATAAATATTGTTACTAATAAATTTAACGTTTTCTTTATTTTTTAAAATTTATTTAAATTTATTTTTTTTACAGCCATGGCGAGGATCTCATTGTGACGCCTTTCGCCCAAATTTTAGCCAGTTTACGTTCAGTGCGCAACAATTTATTAAGTCTGACAAATGTTCCAGCATCAAACAAGTAAGTGTATTGTGACCCCTGTGAGCCCCCCTAGCCCCGACCCTGTCCAGCCCCTCGACCCTGTGCCCCGGAGACTTTCAATTTGTTTGTGTACCAAGAGAGATGTACTTGACCCCGAAAAAAATACAAAAAAAAAATAATAATAATAAAGCAATGAAAAAAAGTACTGAAATCTCACTCTGTTTTTAACCCCCCCTTTTAACCCCTATGTGTGTTGCCTGCTCTTTGCTCGCTTTAACCCACTCACTCCCCCTCTCTGTCTCTCTTTCTCTCTAACCGACTGGCTCTGTCCCGCTCTTTCGTGCTCTTTGGTGTGTTTTTTGTTGTCTCACACTTTAATTAATCAAAACCAGCGAACAACAAACAACACAATGACACACAGTCAGCGAGACACCTATAGCCACACAATGACCAGAAATAGAAAAATGGAAAAAATAGAAAATAGATGGATAAATAAAGAGATATATTCGTGGAAAAAAAATAGAAGAAATCTGCGAAAATAACCCTTTGCAAAAGGTTGAAGGTGCTTACCCCAGGGGGACACAGGCCCCTCCGCGAAACGTGCCAAAAATATATAGAAAACAACTAGGCCAAAAAAAGAACTCTATGAAATAAAAAAAATATAAATAAAAAACATATATACACTCGTATAGATATGGCACAAAATTTAAAATTAGAGAGAAACCATGTTTCGGTTGTGTCAATTTTCCAAAAAGAACCAATTTCTCTTTATTTTTTTTTTGTGGGTTGTTCAACCGGGAAACACTTGGGTTTTTGGTTATTGTTTATTGTTTATTGTTCGCTGGTGGGTTGTTTGACATGTGACTAGCCACCAACTATCGACGTTTTAACCCATTTCCCCACTAAAATACAAGAAAACACTGATAAAAATAAATGGATAATTAAATCAAATATAAATTAAGATGGTTGAAATATATTGTGGGTTTTAAACTAACAATTTGGTAACTTCTTAAGCAATTTCTGTATTAAAAAATAATAAATAATAGATATATAAACAACAATTTACATTAAAATAAAGTGACCGTATAATTTTAAAATAATTAAATTAAAGAAAAGAAATATGTTTGTTTTTTTTTTTAAGTACATTTTCTAGTTTAAACAAAAATAAAAGCCTAACTGTGAATTTCTTAATAATTTTCTTTATCAAATAAATACAAAAAAATAACTAATTAATACAAAAAATTAAATTAAAACAATTGTGAAATAATTACACTAAAAAATAAATATTTGTTAAGTACATTTTCTGGTAAAAACCACGAAATATGCATGCCAAATGTACATAATAAACGCAAATGGGTTTTGTGTTTTGAATGTTAACCCTTAACACCTAATAACCTTAACACCCGGCAGGCCCCTAAAAAAAAGAAAGATTGACCCGTTCCCCCCTTGCTCCTGATCATGGCAGAGACTGCTGTAAATATAAAAAAAAAAATTTTAAAACAAAGCCCCCAAAAGAAAAATTCAATTGCAAAAGTCGAGCAATTTTGTTCACAAAATATATAAATATTTCTCTCTCTCTCTCTCTCTTCCGCTCTCCTTCTAACTCTCACTTTCTAACTCTCTCTCTCTCTCTCTCTCTTCTCTCTCTCTCATTTAACCAATTTTTGCATATATGTGTATATGTGTGTGCAAACGTTTTGCAAAATCACCAAAAATCTAAATGTTGTGTTCTTCTCACCACACACCATGCCTACGTCAATAAAAAAAATAAACACACCACACCATACTCCCCACGCTGCCCCGCCTCCTATCCCCCATATATATTATATCCCTTAATTATCACCCGATCATTTGTCATTAATTTTGCATTTCCAACCGCTTTTAAATCGTGCTCCCTTAAATGTTTGTTCGATTGTTTGATGGTTCGTTTTGTTCGATTGTTCGATTATTTTGTTTGTTTGTTTGTAATCCTTTCTAACTCCAAATAAACCAACAACCCTCACCCCCTCCCTTCCAACCCTTCACCCTTGTCTACTCCCTTTGTGTGTGTGTGTGGAAAATCGTGTATTAATCAACCAAGATCCAGGCGGCCCACGCAATCCTCGTCGGCTGCCCGCTCCACCAATCCGGCGGGCGTTCCCCTGTCGCAGGGCGAGGAGGCCTACACCCGCCTGGCCACCGACACCATCGAGGAGCTGGACTGGTGCCTCGACCAGCTGGAGACTATCCAGACCCATCGCAGTGTCTCCGACATGGCCTCGCTTAAGGTGAGTTTGAGTGATCATAGATCATAGATCAATCGATTGGAGCTTTAAAACCCATCTAAATATCGAAAACCATGTTGAAGAATATCGGTTTATATCGATTATAAGTCGAAAATATAGAATCTATATCGTTTTGAAAATTATATTTATTTTCTTTAATATCTCATTAATTAATTTAAGAATTTAAATATTTGACAAATGTCATATCATTTCGATATAGAATCTTGATATATTCCTGATATTTAAATACATATTAATTAATTGATTGTTATTTTTAAAAAAGTTATCGATATTCTTACCACAAAGTCCGAAGAAAGCTTTGTATATAAATTATTATATATATATTTATTATTAAAAATAATACATTGCAAAAAAAAAAAGAGACCATGTTCAACTGACATTTTAATCTCTAGAGATCCCGCAGACACCTGTTTATTTAAATGTTTAAGCTTTAGAGGAAAGTACTTGAGAAAGTGAAATTTTCAATGAAATTTTTGAAAATTGTTGAAAAATATACAAGAATAAACATCAATATAGATAAATAAGTTAGTCCAAGGAATTCATTTGTATAAAAGTCTTTAAATAATTTTGATTAAATTAAAGAAAAGGTTAAATTTTGTATAGCTTATTATTTTAATATATTATTATTAATTTTTTTTATTATAATACAACCCCAATTAATAACCCACAATCTCCTCTTTTCCAGTTCAAACGCATGCTCAACAAAGAGCTGTCACACTTCAGCGAATCCAGCAGATCGGGAAATCAGATTTCCGAATACATATGTTCCACATTTTTGGGTAAGCCAATCGACTAAATTAAATAAATAAATACACTTGGAAATAATATAAGTTATATATAGGAATTTATTTGTATAACTAGTTTAGTTTTGAGCTTTGCTCCACTTCTCAATTTCCATTGATCCTCCTAACCTAACGATGGAAATTTATTTGCCAAAAGATGGATGGCAAACTTTTTGCAAAACAATTGCGCTAACAATTCCCCCAACAACACTCAAATCATTTCCGCCCCACATCAGACGGAGATTCAACTGGATTCCAATTGTATTAACCCCTTATTCCGCGCCATCCCCATCATAATCATCATCAGTGGCAGAACCCCTGAACCCCTGAACCCCATTAACCCTCCAACGCCAACGCCCCCAATCCAAAGTTATTCAAGATGTTCTGCGGCTTCAACTTTCGCTGGCTGCAATTTGTTTCAGGCGGCTCTTGTCTCGCGTTTCTCTAGTTTTTCTAGTAGTTTTTCCCCTTTTGCCGTTCGGCTCACCAAAGTATGCAATAAAATCGCATTAACCATATCGGCGGGAAAAGCGAGGGAAGAAAGTTAAAGTAGCCGAAGCCACCAGCGCCATTCATCTCCATTTCCATTTCTCCAGACAACAAATTACGGCAAAAAATGCCAGCAAAAGTTATGCAAATCAAGGGAATGAGCTAAGAAAAAATAGAAAATATATAAAGTCGAGATGGGTATACTCTATAAATAGAATAAATAATTGAAAGAAATATAATTTTATTATTAAAAACAATAAAAATACATGAATATTACAAAAAAATGCCTGATTAATCAGAGAAAAATTAATTTTAAAATCTACAAAGTTTTCCTTTAAATAACAAAATTTTTAATAGTATTTTGCAACCTTTTTCGCAACTTAATTTGTTGTAACTTTTTCGGGGGACATTTTTCGAAATATAAACTGGATGTCTCTGTTTTCCCCCTCCACTGCCCTGCGTTTTCGGATTGAAAGTGCAAAATTAAATTATGCAGAGCAGCATAAAAACAGATGAAGTGGAAATTTCATTGTTTAACCTGCGAACCGAGCACCCGCCTCCCCAAGCGGAGACCTCTCTGCGCACCCACATGGCTGACGTCCCCTTTTCTCTCTTTTTGTTTAAAAGTTTACCCCTCTGCGGATTTTCCCGATCCCCCGTTTTCCAGCCATTTTTCCCCCCTGGAGCTTTCCCACTTACCGCCTTTGTCCAAAGCCAAAGCCACTTTGTGGGACTCTGTGCAGGAATGGAAGCTATTTTTCGGTGGCATGCACAGAGAGAAAAAGTAGAATAACCGAGGATCTATGATATTTTCTTAAAATGTATTTTGCATTCATATTTTTATAATAATTTTTAATGAATTATAACGTAAATATCATACATTTTTTCCCAATTATTTGTCTATCTTTAAATTTGTCTGTCTTAAATAATACATAATAAAATATTTAAATATATTTTCTAAATTATATAATTGAAATATATTTAAACTATTTTGTTTCTATAAAATAAATTTGATTAATGATTAAATGATTTAATAAAACAAAAAGTTATTTCGATAGAAATAATTATTCTTTTATTTTTCCTTCCATTATTAAGATGCAATATAATAATTTACAACAACAATTAATTTTTATTTTTTATTATTAATACCCATATTTTTCTCTTGGTGTAAAAAGGGGCAGCTGTCCATGTTTTTGGGGGCGTGGACAAACAAAAACGCCGCACCTAGGCCAAGGCAGGGCAAAAAAAAAACACAAAAAAAGAGTTGAAAGCGCAGAAAAAATAGAGAGAAAGGGTATCGGGCATATTTGCACATTTGTTCATATTTCTGCTTCACTGAACCGGGCGAAAGAGACAGACAGAGGGAGCAGAGAAAGAGAAAGGAGAAAGGGAGTGACACAGGGGAAGAGGGACAGTGGACAGAGTGACCTTCTAGGGATCTAAGGCCGCCTTTTTCACTAGAATTTTCAGGCCTAACCCAACTAACTTGTTGTTGCCGTAGTTTATCAAGCATAAAATCGCATTTGGGGGATACAACACACACACACACACAGAGACACCACCCCCACACACGCACACACGGCTGCCTAATGTCCATTTGTAACACTTCATTTGAAACAGAAGCCTCGACCTCGAAAGTCAAAAAAAAAAGAAGAAAAAAAGCATAGAAAAGCCCCGAAAAAAATGACGAAAGGGAAAACAGCTTTCGGCACCTGAAATCGTTATAGGAAAAGGCAATAGCAAAGGGAATCCAAATCTGAATCTGAATCAGAAGCAGACGCAGAATCAGAGGAACATATGCAAAACACACATCAGGTGAATACATTTCCTTGACAATATTTTTTCTCTTTTTTTTTGGGGGGGTGGGGAGGCAGGCAGAGAAGAGGACATTTTCCCGTGGGGTAGAAAAGCTAAAAGAATTTTTTTGGAAGAAAATTTATGCGTTGTCAAGCTGATAGAGAGCTTGGCACAAGGAAATGTCAAAGCGTTCCTCGGAAGGAAGAGCCCCTAAAATCCCTAGGGTAATATTACCAATTGTCTAGGAAACTTTATTAGCTTGAGGGAATATATGTATATATTGGGAACTTGACGATGAAAAGTGGGAAATGTGTCTCGGTTTTTATTAAAGAATAGATAGTTTTTGGGTTTAAGCTAGGATTTAGTTTATAATTTATTTCAGGCTGTTTCATCTGTTTATAAATATATTAGAAATATTTATTTAATGTGTTTGTTGTATATATATATATATACATATATATAAAAAACACAACAAACACATTAAATAAATATTTTTATTTTTTAATTACTTTTACTTGTTATAATTTAAGATATGGTTTTATTGACATTAATCGACATTTAAATATTAAATTAAAAATATGTATCATTGATATGTAGATATTTGAAATTAAAAAAAATTAAAAAAAAATTATATATATATAAAATAAATAACAAGGACAAATATAGATTTAAATTTAAATGAAAAAAAAAATATAGTACTATTTTATACATTCTCTAGGCTACTGAAGGCACTTGTTAATTTCATTTTTTAATTTTTTATATTACCATTAACCCTTTAAATTCAAAATCCTACATGCGCTTCCCTTCCATTTTACTTCCTTATAAAAATTATCCTTTTAAAAACACTTAATATACCCTTTAATAAACCCTTTTTAATTTATGCAAAACCTGAAACAAATTGAATTCCAATAAAACCGATCGATTTGAATTAAACGGGCATTAGACTACATTACGCCCCGTTAGTTTTTTCCACAAGTACGCAACAGTTGAGCCACAGACACACCCAAAAAACTATAAAACATTACCGCAGTTTATTAGTATTTCCCATTCCTTCAACCAAACTCGCTTTTAGTTTTTACTTTCCAAGCGAAAATTCAACGCAATTTGGAATTTTGAAATGAATATTAATTTATGCACACAGGCAATTTGAATTTGCTCTCGCTTTCTGCAAACAAACAATCGAGTTTTGAGGGGACCCGGAATGGTGTGCTGCTGCGCCCGAAAGTAGGCAATGGAATTTTGAATGGGGGTGGGAATGCAAAAGTTTTTGCTTGTTTGCCCCGTCGAACGCTTGAATATTTATATGGCTGCTTAAGCGTCCGCCCAGTAAGAAGGCCCTGAGAAATCCACCACGAGTTGAAGGACTCCTCGCTCTACATACAACATTCATCCGCAGGCAGAGCCTGCCTGCCTCCTTATTCTTTCTCCTTACTCAGTCAGTCAGTCAGTCAAGCAGCCTGTAGTCTGATATATCCCGGGGCTGTGTGTACGCCCACATCCAAGGATATGTGTAATGTGTGTGTATGTTTGTCTCAGACGATGATGATGATGATGATGATGATGATGATGATGATGATGATTTTAGAGCCCTTTAATCGGGCAGTTGGCTGGGGTGTATGCGTAGATTTAATCGAAAAACAAATACTAGAGGGTCGCATATTTATTATGAAAAGTAGTACAAGTCCTAATACTTGCAGGAACATATATTGTGAATCTGATTTAAGAGATTTAGGGAGAGTGGTAATAAGAAATTATATTTATAATTTAAATTGTATAGGAAATTTTTTTTTGTAATTTATTATTATTTTTTTAGGCTGGGTGCATTTTTTAACTGGTTTTTAAGTTTATCTTTTGTTAATTTTAATTTTAAAATTAGAATAAAAAACACATTTAAAGGTTTTTAAGTCTTATAATTTTATTTTAATTTATTATCATTATTTTAATTTATTTTTTGTAAATTTTAAGCTGATTTTTACTTTGAAATAAAATTAAAATAAAAAAACACGTTAAAATATATTTTATCCATTATAAAGAGTTCTAAAATGATAAAATAATTTAAGAAATAAATGAGGAAGAGTTTATCTTGATATTATAATATTTTAAATATATTTTTAATATTTAGTTTTATTTTTAATTCATTTTTTATATTTAGTTTTATTTTAAATGCAATTTAATTAATTTTATTATTAATAACACCTAAAAAGCATCATAAATCCAGCTAATTTAAATCTTAATTTAAAATACAAATACTAAATATTCTCTCCCCTTTCCTTATTCCCACCCACAGACAAGCAGCAGGAGTTCGACCTGCCATCGCTGCGCGTGGACGAGAATCCAGAGCACGCGGCCGCCACAGCAGCCGGCGGTGCGGTTGGCGCCGGCGGTCAATCGACCGGACAGCAGTATGGCAACCGAAGCCGCTCACCGCGCGGCCCGCCCATGTCGCAGATCAGCGGCGTGAAGCGGCCGCTGTCGCACACCAATAGCTTCACCGGCGAGCGGCTGCCCACGTTCGGCGTGGAGACGCCCAAGGAGAATGAACTGGGCACACTGCTCGGCGAACTCGACACCTGGGGCATCCAGATATTCAGCATCGGCGAGTTTAGCGTCAACCGGCCGCTCACCTGTGTGGCATACACCATATTTCAGGTGAGTTTTTTTAAATTAAACCTACAAACTAATTAATAAATAAATATATATTCTTCGTTTGAACCCACAGAGTAGAGAATTACTGACCAGTCTTATGATACCACCGAAAACTTTTCTTAACTTTATGACTACTCTGGAGGACCACTACGTCAAAGACAATCCGTTTCACAACTCGCTCCACGCCGCCGACGTGACCCAGAGCACCAATGTGCTACTCAATACTCCAGCGCTGGAGGGCGTGTTCACACCGCTCGAGGTGGGCGGTGCTTTGTTCGCCGCTTGCATACACGATGTGGATCATCCCGGCTTAACCAATCAGTTTTTGGTTAACTCAAGTGAGTCCCCTGATGCTACAAATCAAGAATTGTTTTCTACATTTCTGTTTGGTCTCGCAGGTTCCGAACTAGCATTAATGTACAATGACGAATCTGTTTTGGAAAATCATCATTTAGCTGTTGCCTTTAAATTATTGCAAAATCAAGGATGTGATATATTCTGTAATATGCAAAAGTAAGTCAATAATAAGGACAATTTTAAATACATTTTGAAATAAATAATTTTAAATAAATTTTAAATAAATTTTAAATAAATTTAAAAAAAATAAAGTTTTAAAATAAATTTAAAATAAATAAATATAACTAAATTTTAAATAAATTTAAAATACATAATTTTAAATAAATTTTTTAATAAAAAATTTAGAATTAATTTTAAATAAAAAAAATTTAATAAATTTTAAATACATTTTAAATAAATAATTTTAAATAAATAATATTAAATAAATTTTAAATAAATTTTAAACCAATTTTAATTAAATAATTTTAAACAAATTTTAAATAAATTTTAAATAAATAAATTTTAAATAAATTTTAAATACATAATTTTGAATAAATTTTATATAAATAATTTTAAATAAATTTGAAATAAATACTAATCCTTATACATATCCCCATTTTCTGCAGGAAACAACGCCAAACATTGAGGAAAATGGTTATTGATATTGTGCTGTCCACGGACATGTCCAAGCACATGAGTCTGCTGGCCGACCTAAAGACAATGGTGGAAACCAAAAAGGTGGCTGGCTCCGGAGTCCTGCTGCTGGACAACTACACCGATCGCATACAGGTAAGAGTGCCGCCTTATCTATATACAATTTAAAAAGAATATATAATATATATATAATCCTTCAGGTGCTCGAGAATCTGGTGCATTGTGCCGATCTGAGTAATCCCACCAAACCGCTGCCGCTGTACAAGCGCTGGGTGGCGCTGCTCATGGAGGAGTTCTTCCTGCAGGGCGACAAGGAGCGCGAATCGGGCATGGATATCAGTCCCATGTGCGATCGCCATAATGCCACCATTGAGAAGTCACAGGTGGGCTTCATCGACTACATCGTCCATCCGCTGTGGGAGACCTGGGCCGATCTGGTCCATCCGGATGCCCAGGATATACTCGACACGCTTGAAGAGAACAGAGACTACTACCAGAGCATGATACCGCCATCGCCGCCGCCATCGGGGGTCGATGAGAATCCGCAGGAGGACAGGATACGCTTTCAAGTGAGATCTCTACGAGTGAAATGAAAAACATTTAAATCAATTATTAACCCAATTATGTTATCATTCAAAGGTAACCCTGGAGGAGTCCGACCAGGAGAACCTTGCCGAGCTGGAGGAGGGCGATGAGGATGTGGATGCCGCTTCTAGCACCACAACGGGCACCACGGCCACCTCGGCCCTGGGCGGTGCCGGTGGTGGTGGTGGTGGTGGCGGCGGAGGTGGTGGCATGGCACCCAGAACGGGTGGCAGCCAAAACCAGCAGCATCACGGTGGAATGTGACGGAGAGTCGTGGGATTCTATCGCAAATTACAGGAAAAGGCACACAACTTTTTCCTACTACGTTAGTGACTACTATTTAACACACACCAAACACACACACACACAAACACAAACACAAGCCAAAAAGGAAAAACTAAAAAAAAAAAACAAAGAAAAACTCTTGGAAAAAACACAAAAAAAAAAAAAAAAACAAAAACAAAAACCAAACTAAGGAAATATTAAACAATTGTTTAAAGTAAAACCAAACAGCAATAGCAAAAGTACCGTTTAACTTATAAAGCCTAGAGAAAAACAAAAGCAACAAAAAAAAAGAAGAAAAAACGACAAAAAAAAAAGAAAGTTAGAAATTTACTTAATGGAAAAATGAGATTGATGTTGAATACACTTGGAGAAAAAGAAGAAGAAGGCAGAGAGCAAGCAACACAAATCGTACATATTCTTAAAGCAAAGCAAAAGGAAAATCCAAGACAAAAGCAAAAAGAGAATGTTAAGAATATACCAAAAGTCCCGCCCACAAAAGAAAAAAAGAAAACCTAACATAATATATAGACGATTTTTGTTGTAAATGAGATTTCTGTTGAAGCCGCCCTCCCAGGACTTTTAAAACCTTGACTAAAACCGAAAGAAGACCAGATCGGACGGGGGGATTACAATTAAATACGATTAGTTTAAGAGAAAGCCTCCTTTTTTATTAAGTTTTTAATGTTTTTTGCATGCCCGGAACAGGTTCATTTTACTCGATGATTACTTTTGATTGATAAACGATAGCTGGCAATCGATACCCATCGATAACAGCGTTATTGAATTTTTAATGATTTAGACAAAGCAAAGAAGCGAAAAACCCCATGTAAAGTGTAAGAATCCAGTGAATTAAACCCGAAAAAACAAACCAGAATTGAAAGCAAACAAAACAAGCACTTAAATTCTATTTAAAATCCCCTCTCCCGCAAACGATTAACAGCCTACAGACTGTAGTTTTGTATAGTAATATAATATATATATAATAATAATATATAAATACGTTTTTTTTTATATTATTTGTAAATAATTTAAATGTTGGACTCGAATTTAAAAACAAAGCTAGCAAATGTTTTTGCAGCTAAACTAAATGAAAGAAAACAAAGCCAAAAACCACACACACACACACACATTAAGTGAATAAAAAAAAAAAAAACCGAGAGGAGAACAGGCGAAGGATAAAATGAAGGATAACTATTGTACAATTAGCTAAAGAATTTCCATTTCAATTTCAATTTCGATTTGAATTGCGATTTCATTTGCTTCCAGAGGAGAGAAGAGAGAGAATACAAGAGAAAATAATGTCAAACGCTGTCTTCGCAAATATTTTTCGCTATATATATAACAACTATATATATTATTTAGCTAGTAACTAAGCTGACAAAACACAATTTAAGCGGCAAATGCAAAGCAAACACAGACACGAAAGAGAAGGCAGAAGTCTAGAAGAAGAGGAGGGAACATGAATTTACTAAGGAAAAACACACAAACAACCAGAAAAAAGACTCTTCGACAAAGGAAAAGGGAAAATTTATAACAAATAATAATAATACTAAATACTAAATACTAATAGAGCACAACTTTTAGTTTTTCCAATGAATGCGAAACCAAAACCAAAGCTAAACACACACAAACGAAGAAAAGTCATTGGCTATATACAGCAGTCTATATAGAGATACTATATACCCCATAGGAAGATATGTATATGCAAGTGTAGAGTCACGATCCCACAGCGCTGGTGCCGTGGATCGATCGATGTGGCAGGCCAAATTCAAACGCGCATAATTTATATACATACATACACACATATATATATATATTGTTTACTATTATTATGTTTTATTGTTATTAATTTATTACCCAAAAACATTATTATTTTGTTTTCAGAACTAGTGCTATATATATACGATTTATTTTTTGTGTTTAAGCGGGCAGGATCCGCGCATAAAATAGTTTAATTTTTTTTTTTTAAATATATATACATAAACATATATATATATATATATCATATAGATTGATATATGATACGATGAAAAACTTGAGGAATGAAAAACGGAACCTTGATGGTCTAAAAATATCATTAAAACTAAAAACTAAAAACTATTCGCAGAAGAAGAGTTATTATATATGTATATTGTTGAAGACAAAGTTGAAGATAATACTTTATAGCAATTTAAGCAGCATTGTAAATGTGCGCTTCTCAGATTTACATACATGTATTTTTTTTTTTTTCGAAACTTAATCAACCTTCGGCAAAGATACAGCAAGATATATATATATATATATATATATATATATATATATATATCTACCTTACATGATGCATACATATATTAATTAATTATACCAACCAACCAACGGCAAGTCCATGGCGAACTTAAAGCAAAAAGAAGAAAAACCAAGCTACTTTAACAACAAATTGAGTGAAATAAATAAAAGAAAAAGAAAACAAAACAAAAAAAAAAAAACAAAAACAAAAACAAACCAAATGACTTTTTTCTCCTCTCACAAAAAAAAAAAAAAGAAAACAAGAAAAGTAAGACGAAAAACTAAGAAAATGAACTATTATTGTATTTGTAACACGAATTTCCCTGTGAGTGATGTGTTTTTTGTAGAACCATAGAACCGGAAACACACCGAGAAAAGTATATAAAATGTAGAGAGATTCCGATAACGATAACGATAACGATAACGATTACAGATACTGGTACATGTGTGTGTAGCTATACGATTATGTAACTTACCAGAGTATTAACCAAAACATTTACATTTACATCCTAGGCATACATGCAGCTACATTACGTACATTTGATGTATACTCGCGTTTGATGAAACGATACTTAGCCTAACCAGATGTTGTATGTACGTGTATTCTCTGTGCGTGTGTAATTTGATGAATTTAAAGTCCAAACCAATATCGAATACCGAAAGCAACCAGAAGCATCCATCACACACACAAGCAATTTATAATGTTAAATCGAAAAGTATCTAAATGTAATTGTTAGCAGAAACCGAAGGATACAACCCAGATTATAGGCATCTCTCTCGCTCTGTCGTATCTATTTATCTGTTGGATACGAAAGTCCAAAATCCCTGATCCCCGATTCCTGATCCCCTTTCCCTCCTAGCCAACTCCATTTCGAAAGGCAGCCAGTTTTTGACTGAAATTAAAGCTTGGCACTCAAAGTGTTTGTATTTGTTTTCCTGATTTCCTCCCCCCATTGAAATGCCGCCAATTTATATCAGTGTATATAACTATATTTAGAGAATATACTTACTATTTAGCGCATACGCGATTACGTAGCTACGGTCGTGCAAGGATACCCACTTACATAGATATATATACATATATACATATTTATATAGGGGAAGGCAGGAGGAGATCAGCATTTGTAGCACACACAGGTTGGCCAAATTTTTTGGGGAGTAAAAAGTAAAAAGTAAAGAAAGTGTGTAACCAAAAAAAAAAAAAAAAAACAAAGATAACTGTTTGTTGTGCTGTTTAGCCGTAAATGAGAACTTTTTTTTGAGATAACTTAATAATATACATACAAAAATATATATTATATATTACATATGTGTATCTATAACTATATGAACAGGCAGGCAAGAGACCCAAACACCTTCAAAAAAAAAAAAAAAAAAGAAAGTAACACAGACATTTGAAATGGCAAGTTTTGTACTATAATAAAGTGAGGAAGGATAACCAAAAAACACCAAAGACGAAGAAGAATGAGGAGGCAAGGGAAACACAAGACAAAACGAAAAACAAAATATACTAAAAATATATACTTTAATGAATATTAAATGCGCGCTGGCGACGACGGTTGTTAGAGGGAAATACCCCGCTTGGAGTGCCGCAGAGGAAGTGACGTCAGATCCGGGCGAGTCGGCACTTCAATCAGATGCGGTGGAGAATCGGGAGATATTATATATACATATAAATCACGTAACGCTGGCGTTACTGGGCAAACAGTTAGGCATTTCTTTAGGTTCCTCCTTTGATTTTGGAAATTTATAAAATTTACAAACAACAACAAGAACAAGATGGCACACACACGCACCGAGAAGGCGAGGCATAGGTTCTTAATATATATCGAAAATATTGCAAATATTTCGAATATACTAAAAGAATACTTTAGAAAACAGCCTCAGGCCACAGATATGAGAAATGAAAACGAGAATGAGAATCTGAATTCGGACAATTACTTACCACAGCGCACTCTCTCGATCCGATCGGGCGACCCACACTATATAGTATATATACATATATGATATAGAGCTGGCTTCCTTTGTTCCTATTTTCCTTTTCCCTTGTTTCCCCTCCGTTTTGCCTCTCTCAGAATACCGTATACATATATATGTATATTCTATGTATATATATGTAGTTATTGAATGTGAAAAGCGTAATCATTTATGAAATTAACAAAACAAAAAAAAAAAAAAAAACAAAAAGAAAGAAGTCTACCCCCGAAAACCAAGTCAAATACATAATAGCATGCAAGAAAGAGTAAGTAATATTAATGAAATCTAAGAACAAAAGTCACTCAGTTTGGCGTTAATCAAGACCTCATGGCAAAATGATGATAAATCAAAACAGATCAAGAGCATTGGCATGAAGAACACCGATTTGAATGAGAAATAAGAAATGAGAAATGAGAAACGAGAAATGATACATGAAAATGAAATCTTAATGAATCTAAATAAATGAAAAGATAATATTAAAAAATAATCGTATTTGGGTTTTTTTACATTTATGGGATTTACTTTGCAGCATGGAATATTTATAGCTACATATATCCAGATAGTCACTTCCGACTTTATAATATAAAACCGTCAGCCATCGCCACCTGGCGGCCTTTTCTGAAACTTGGCTGGGGATTAGCCAGGTTTCAAGCTAGGTAAGCAGTTCAATCGTCCCTGCTTTACGAAAAATTACGTAAAACTGCTTTAATGGTTTAAGGCCTGGCTAACGATAGTCCAGTTTCAGAAAAATGCCGACAGGTGGTGCCAAAAGACGGTTTTACAAAATTTAGATGCGCATCACTGGCAGTTAGTGAGATGCCAATTCCCCCATTAATGCATCATAGCTAGATGAGCATCACTGTCGGTTAATGAGATGCCTTTTTGTCATAATATTACAAAAAAACTAGATGCGCATCAGTGGTTGTTTTTTGGTCATTTTTGTTAAAAAAATTCTTTAAAATTTACAGGTAAGTATGCAGTTTTGTTAAGCTTAGAAACGGCAGCTCAGAACAGCTTTCCGAATTGAATTTCATGCGTTTTTGGCTGAGTTATGAGCATTTGAAAATGAGGTTGTTTTCATTCATTCATTAAAATTCTAAAAAATTGAGAAAAAATGAAATTGAAAAGAACCCTAAACGTAGTATGCAGTTTTGTTAAGCTTAGAAAAGCTAGCTCTGAACCGCTTTCCGAATTAAATTTCATGCATTTTTGGCTGACTTAAAAACCTTTGAAAATTAGTTTTTTGTTCATTTTTTTTTAATATTAGCTTTTTTCCAAAAATTATCCAAATAAATCGCACTCTTTTTTTCTAAATTTAATTGCAGCAATCTGCCAGGAACTAAACGGATACCGATGGCGAAACAGTGAGCGTTGGTAAGGAGGACCAGGACGAGGAGAAGCAGAAGCGGACCAGCGGCTGGGGCAGCACGACGAGGGTGCCACCAAGACCGAGCCGAAACCACTGGGCACGACATTCTCACATGCCTCACCTTTTCTTCTTTTATTTATTTAAAGATGAAATAAATAATAAACCTTAAACAATTTGTTATTTTTGAGTTATGGGAGGATGTGGTTTTTGGGTGGGATAATTTAAATTAGACATATACGCCGCCGCGCCACGCCGCCGCCGCCGCCGATTTTTGCCTTATTTGACGCGCCGCCGCCAAATTATGAAAATAACGGCGCGCCGCGGCGCGCCGCTGGTGCGGCATCGGCGCAGCTTCAGCGCGGCCTTCAGTGTCATTGTTCTTTATAAAACTTTAAAAAAAATAAATAACTCATTAAAATGGCCTTTTTGCCTTATTTGACGCGCCGCCGCCGCCGGTTCTTTCTGACTACTACGCCGCCGCCGCCGAGTCATTTTGACCTCTACGCCGCCGCCGATGCCTTTAACCATCGGCGTAAACCTCTAATTTAAATAAGCTCAATAGAAGGGCATTCTTGCGGTGGAAATGGAAAGAAACATCAAACATTGTAAAATAGCTAGATGAGCATCACTGACAATTAGTGAGATGCCATTTTGTACCAATAAAGCAAACTAGCTATATGAGCATCACAGACCGTTAGTGAGATGCCATTTTTTCCCAATAATGCAAACTAGCTAGAGAGCATCTCTGGCAGTTAGTGAGATGCCATTTCGTCCCAATAATGCAAAATAGCTAGATGAGCATCTCTGGCAGTTAGTGAGATGCCATTTTGTTCCAATAATGCAAAATAGCTAGATGAGCATCTCTGGCAGTTAGTGAGATGCCATTTTCTACCAAAAATGCAAAAAATAGCTAGATGAGCATCACAGATTCACATGAGCATCACTGCCATTAAGCCCGATTTTATTGCCCCTCAATATTGAAATATTGCCAGATGAGCATCACTGATGCAGATGAGCATCACTGATGCAAGTGAGCAATATTTTGCATTCAATTTGGCCGCTTTCCAAACTGGGGTAACAGGCGAACAGAAACCAGCAGCAAGCAACTGAAAACTGGTATAAACTGTTATAAAAAGTCCAAGTTCCAAACCATTTAGGAGTCGGCGCAAGTTAGCGGGGACTCAAACCTTTTGAATCCAAATTTAGGTGTTATTTTACGACTGCACCTGGGCACACTGAAACTGAAAAAAATAGCTAGATGAGCATCACTGATGCAGATGAGCATCACTGATGCAAGTGAGCAATATTTTTCATTCAATTTGGCCGCTTTCCAAACTGGGGTAACAGGCGAACAGAAACCAGCAGCAAGCAACTGAAAACTGGTATAAACTGTTATAAAAACTTTTGGGCAAAAATAAAAATTGGTATAAACTGTTATATTCCATTGTATGCATTTATACCTATTTGTTGCCGACAACAACAGCTTGATGGCAACAACAACCTTTTTACAACAACATCCCTACAGCAGCCCATCCAAATTTCCATGCAAATTGCCCGTTTCCCAAATTGGGGTAACAGGCGAACAGAAATCAGCAGCAAGCAACTGAAAACTGGTATAAACTGTTATAAAAGGTCCAAGTTCCAAACCATTTAGGAGCCGGCGCAAGTTAGCGGAGACTCAAACCTTTTGAATCCAAATTTAGGTGTTATTTTACAAATGCACCTGGGCACACTGAAACTGATCGTCGTTAAATTCAAATTCAAATTTGGCAGTTAAATTCAAATTTGGCAGTTAAAATATTTAAAAAAAATTAAAAAAATCTAAAAAAATTATAAAAAATTTTAAAAAAATGTTAAAAATTCTGAAAAAATTTTTAAATTTCGAAAACAATTTTAAAAATTTTGGGAAAAAATGAAAATTTTGAAAAGTTGTTAAACAACCGAATAAAATGTATAAAATTCAGACAAAAAATTAACAAATTTAGGTTTTGCTTTCAAAAAAATTAGATTTTCCCCAAACGATCCCAAATAAATGCCGCCTTCACCAAAAAATTGCACATTGATTTCACCTTCTTTTATTGATTCATATTTGTGTGTTCCTTCAATTACATTTACATCTTTAAATTTTATTTATAAATATTTTAATTATTTACGTCTGCTGCAAGGTTTCAACTAGTCCGGAGCTGAGATCCGATCACCGTCCTCTACTGCCATCGGGTTGAGGTCTGTCATCCCAGCTGGTCGCTCCTCCAGCTTCATGTCTGCCGATCCTAAAATTATATATAATTATAGGTAGGTATTTAAACAAAAATCAGGTAGGTATTAAAAAAATAATCAAAAATTAAGATTTCGCTTTCAAAATAATTAGATTTTTCCCCAAACAATTCCAATTTTTAAAATATTGAAGAGTTCAAGTTCGGCAGGGCAGGCCATGATAGAATTATACAAGGTATATATAACACAAGGTATAATTCTATCATGGGGCAGGCCGTTGGTCTTTCATCAGTTCGCTAAATTCAGATTTGTAAATTATGTGTTGAACTTGGCCTCAAAATTTGTTATTTCTTTCTCCCTTATCTGGCTTTGGACTTGGAAAACTGACCGGTTGCAGCCATGGCACACACATTTCGGTTGAATTGGTTTAAAAAACTGCTAAATTCGTGGTCTCTCAGCAAAAAGTATCAGCACATGGGTAAAGTTTATTGTATTCTCATCGTTTCGTTTGGAAAAAGTGTCTTTAACCCGCTTCGATAGACGACAGTCGCCCGATTGGCAGCTCCTCGAACATCAAGGAGTTTAATGGTTCACGGAAAGTGCCCAGGCTCCCGGAAAAGACCAATTCAACGGCACCCCGTCCGGCCAGATCCCACAAACGTCCAACTGGTTGGTAAAACTTAATTTTAGCCCTAAAAATGAACGAATGCCAAGACCCTGCTTCCCCCACAGCTGTTGTTGTGAAGATGCATCCTGTGGTGCGAAAACTAAACAGTTCGATTAAACCAAAACGGGGCTTGTCCTTTAGTGGCCAGAAGCGGAGGAGGGATGAGCAGCTGGTTAAGGTCCTGGGATCCCAGGCGAGTAAAAGCAAACCGAGTCCTCACATGATGGCCTGGATGGATGTGAGGGACTCGGTGGTGACCAGAAACATTGAGAAGATGGTGCGTGAATCGCAGATCAGGCTTCAAAGCCGGCGGATCAGCGATCGTGTCGAGAAGCGGGGCACTAAGGAGCTGGCCTATGAGATTCGTAAAAGGTTAAAGAAGCCCGCCGTGCCAGCCAAGGGCAAGGTAGTGAAGAAGCCTTTGGGCCAGGAGCAGCACAGAAACCTGGATGTAAGGATCTCCAGGATGCCGGCGGGTTCCAAGTCCACGAATGATCCCAGCCGCGGGAATCTCCAGTCCCGTCCCGCCTACCACATGCGGATTGCACGTTTCCAAGCCAAAAACTTCAAGGATCTGCGAAAAAGGTCCAAGGATAATAAAACCAAACCCAAACACTCTGCCCCTGCCACATGCAAACTCATGGAGGAGGAGCAGAAACGCCTGGACATTCTTAAGGCGGAGTGGGTGCAGTTGAAGGGACTGGAGACAGCCGCTAGACACAAACAGAACGCGCAGCTCAAGGAATCGAAGAAGCCAATGGATCCGGAGGCCGGGTCTTCAACAGACCTGGACCTAAACACTCTGATAGTCGATCCCAAGTCCTTTCTAACCAAGGTCCACGTCAAGAGCCAATTCTTCTCGGTGGATCTCGGTGACAATATGTCGGTTGATCCCTTCATGCTGGAAAGTCCCGATGTCTTCCCAGATACAACCTAAAAAGGACTCCCGAAATTGGTGCCGTACCAGGAGCAGAGTTTTCCAAAATATAGCTATAGGATGAGAATAAGAAAGATACACAAAGCCATTATTTTTAATACCAAAATTTTACAGGATTTTCTACGGCATAAGTTAACAATAAAATCCCCAGCACAATTGAGTGTTTTATTTATTTTAAAGTTTTAAAATAAAATTGTGCCTGTTCTCTGTACAATATCTATTTATTTCTGCGAGTCGTGCATGCTTTCAAGTGTTCTCCTTACAATTAAATTATTGCTCAGGGCTGTTCTAGTACGTAAGTTCAAGGACATTTCGGATGAGTAATCTCATCTTATTCCCTTTGAAAGTCCTTGTTGGGTTTCTCTCTTAAACTGGGCTGACGGGAGTCTTAATCCTAGTGAATAATACAATTCGTATATATAGATTACATAGATTACATATATAGATACTTTCGTGTGTGTGTGTGAGTGATTGCTTCGATTGATTGGTAACAATTAAAGTTAATTAAATAAATTAAATACCGCTAGTTTGATCTTAAGCTGCTACAAAATCGGTTAGTTCGAAGGGCGACATAAAAAAAACGAAAAAAAAAGGTATATGATGGCCTTCTCCTGCGCCCCGTAATCCTTCCGTTAATCCTTAGGCCTAGAGTCTAGTCTGGTTTGGTTAATTCTCTAGGGGGGATTACGCACAGGTGCGCGCCCTGCGCTGGAGGCGCTTCATCCGCCGATACCAGTCCTCCTTCCATTCGATAACTATTGAATGCGGCCCAATGCCCAGGTAGCCCGGTGGCGCCTCCGAATCCCGTCCCAGGATCAAATAGGATCTGCAGGAAAAGTAAAATATATATAGTTAAGGTTATGCAAAAGGGGATCCTCAAGGGAAACCCACCTGTTAACTCTGATCTTGGGGCAGCGACACTCCAGGCTCTTAGTCGGTATGATCCAGGTCATAGGACCGCGTTTTAGCATTGTACTCGGCATTCCATACACGCTGCTCCTGCTCCTGCTCCCGCTTCCTGTTCCGGTTCCGCTCCCGATCCCTATCCCCGCCCCGCTGACGCTGCTGCCTGGCCTGCTTCGCTTGAACACGGCCTGGATCTGCAGATCGTAGCGCGCCGTTTCGCTGCCGCTGCTGGGATAGCTGGGATCTGTCGACTGGAACTCGTACTCCGCCGGACTCTGAACGGTCCCCCCGGGCTGTTCCTGGTCCATTTCGTAATCCGCCGCCGCGTCGGGATCCATTGCGCGGCGCTGGGCCTCCCTGCTGGCCGCCTCGCTGCTCGTATCGCGACCAATTACTTTGGCCATTATTGCTGCCAAGAAATCATTTGAAATTAAATTTAAAAATTATTATTAAGTAGATTCTAAGAATATTTACCGTAATCTCTTTTGCAGAACTTGTTTAGGTTTAACCTTTTGGTGCTTACTTTGCATTTGCCGCATTCTGAAAAGGACGAATGAAAGGATGTGTAAATGGATTAGTTTGGAAGTTGCAGTTTGTGAAATTTTATAGATGAAATGATGAGCTGGGTGCTGAAAGTTAGGGGTTAACTGGTCCGAGCCATAAATACTGTTCCCTGTTCCCTATGCCCGGTTCGCCCTTGTCCTTCGCCTGGGGCATTCCACTCTTGTGTTCACAATTTAATTGCAAAATTTATGTCTTTATGGCCAATGCCAATTAGCAGGAACAGCGCCAGAAACAGCAGCATTTGCTCGATCAATTTTGCATTAAGGGAGCCTTACCCCTCCTCTTGAGATTTGCCCCCCTGCACAGCAAGAAATTGGGTTACTTTCTTACATGTTTATTGATTTAATATAAAAGGTATTTCTTCATATTAAAATATACTAAATTAACTTTTAATTTTAAAAAGGATATAACAAATTTATTTATGAAAAAGTAAAAAGCCCTTGGGAGCAGAAAATGCTTAAATAAAAATTTTAAATGTAAAAGTCTACAGTTTTTGAAACCCTTAAAAATTTGTCTAAAATATATAGAATTTGGTGTAAATTTAATTTTATTTTGCAATATAAATTTAATATTTTACAGTTTTTTTTAAACTTTTAGAAGGTGTTTATAAGTAAGCAAATGGGTTTTTATTTTTAGGGTATCGAATTTAGTTTTTTAATCCAATTTTAACACATTTTTTAGGGTTTTTTATAACATAATTATTAATGTAGCAGCCACAGTAAACTTTAAATTAATTAAAAATATTTGGAAATATTATTTATGGCTACAGAAAATCTTAATTTAAAACTTAGACACCCTAAATTATTTTTACAAGCTACATTTCCAGACTTATTCTCTCTGTGTATATTGCCTTCGTGCCTTGGGCCGCCTTTTGTGCCAACTAAAATTAGCCAAGAAATCTCTGTATTTTTGCAATGTTTTGTTTGTTTGTTTTTTTATTTTATTTTTTACATTTTCGCATGTTTTTTTCTTTTGGCTGCGAATGGCAACTTGCATTGTTGTTCTGCGATCGCAATGTCACAGGAAACGTGACACAATTGAAGGCATAAACATTTATATTAAACGAATCGAACGGATCGATTGAATCGACAAATGGAGATTAAAGGAAAAACTCTAAACGAATATGTCTATTTTTGGTGCATTTTCCTCACCTGACAAGCGATATTTAATGCCGTCATTTAAAGATCATTGGCCACGCCCCGAATGGGTGCCAAAAATAAAGCCCTGCGTTCCCTGTCTGAGTCATGGCCTGAGAATCCCTTCTGAAGTGATTTATATGGGTCATATAGAAAATATATAATATATGGTATGCCCTGAACTTTGATTGGCACTTTAGCTTTGGCAAACTGAGTGCCGAAAATAAATCTTTCATCAATTTGCCAGTCATCAAATTAACATGACATTAAAACTGACCCTCGGCAGGAGGGGAAACTAAACTTTAAATTAACTCAAACTCGAACAGAATTTTAAATTAATTTAATAAGATTATCAAATTAGAAATTCATAATTAACATTCATGCTGATGATGCCGGGCGGCAGTGGCGGCGCTCATGAGGCTGTTGTGGCGTGGCAATGAATTGCAAAGGACGAACTTTTGCGCGTCCTGTGCTAGCCGTCCATTTGCCTAACTCGCTTCTTGGTTACACGAAATGGCAAACTTTTCGCCGACAACTTTTACCAACTTGCACTTTTCTTTGCCGTTGACAAATAAATTTAAGAGGGAACCCTCTCCGCCCCCATTGCCGCTTTATGCCCATCTGGATTTGCATTTTGGGCCATGACGAATAGCAATGGGGACTGGCATATTTGGTCCTGCAGCAGGAGCAACTTGATGTGCAACAATTGCAGCAGGGAATTGATACCATGTTAGGCACCCAGAAGGCGTCTGGCAGCTATTCATATTGCAATTTTAATGGCTTTTGATGCATTTCAGAAACTTTTACCAGGAGTTAAGATTTCTTTGTGAAGATACCATAAAGGATAAATAGGATTATGAGTGCTTTTAGCTAATACAGGGACCTCTTTATGTGGATTTTATTATTACAAATAATAGTTTTTAATAAGAATTAAATAAAATAAATGTAGAAAGGTTAAATGATATGACTTTGAAGAACCTTACACCTTTAAGACCAAAAATTTTCGATATTTTCCCCATTTCGCTGGTCACTTAACGCCAACAATGTGACTCTATTATGATTGTCTTGGCGCTTACACATCCTGTGGCTGTCCAGTCAATTTGTCATTGTGCTTCCACTTGCAGATGTAGCTGCATTGAGTGTCCTTGCCCCTCCCCCGGCCCCACTCTGGGGATAACCAGTTGGTTATCCTGCGCTGACTTTGCCTAATGCCTTGGGCAAATAGTCGGGAGCAATTAGCGGCAGTGGCGGCGGTGTGAGTGCACACTGTACTTGGGCACAGTGGGGCCAAAAAAAGCGGCTGGCGGCCGGCGCTGCAGCTTATTCATGGGAAATTAAATAAAAAACTTTTTTAATACGTTTGCTTTGCCAAGTTTCGCCTGTTCTCTTCTGTCATTCTATGCTTTTTCACCCCGGCTCCTATTCTTTTTATGTATATTTCTGTTGGGGGGCATTCCCTGTTGTTTTTTGCCACTGTTGTTGTTGCTGATCTACCCTGTAGCTTTGTTGGGCTCAAGGGTATGATGGAACTTGGGATAAATCAAGATGGAAAGATATTAAGAGGAGAATATTTAGCTATCATGAAGATATCATGTTGATAACATGAAAATATCATGTAGATAATATGAAGATATCATTTAGAGATCGTGTAGATATTATGAAGATATCCTAAAGATGTCATGAAGATATCCTAAAGATTTCATGAAGATATCCTAAAGATATCATAAAGATATCCTAAAGGTATCATGAACATGTCCTAAGGATATTGTGAAGATATCGTAAAATTTTGGTCACGATAATCCATTTAGTATATGGTATCTCATAGTCGAGGCACTCAGCTCTTTATGTTAGTTCTTGCAGTTTTTTTCTGGTATTTTAGTGGAAAGTTTGTTTTGCTTTTAGCACGAGCACGCGCCACCTTAGAATGAGAGAGAGAGAGGGGGACCAGGGAAAGAGATAGAGAGGTGGAACTGGGCTTAGTATGATTTATGCTGCGTGGCGCATTTTGTTAGCTTGTTGCATCTCATTCTCTCCTCCCCCTCCGAGGGCCCACTGTACCTCCTTTGCAACTGTAACTAAAAGTTGCGTGCAAACATTTGCGTTGTCTGTTAAGTGCCCGTGTATCCCTTTCTCTGTCTACCCTGAGCACTCTCTGTTAGTACGCTTCTTCTGGGGGACTCCTTTCCTGACCGACAACCGCCTGCACTTTAGCGGATTTGTGTTTTCTCGCCCATTTGAAAGGATTACAAAGGCGAGCCAAGCGCCGCGGCAAACTTTGCGCGTCCTCCTTTCGGCACTATCGTGCTTGTTCTTCTCTCTTCAGGATGCGGACAGTGGGGAGTCGCTAAGGATTGCCTCAGACACGGAGAAATACTAGGGATATCTATCGATAGGTCGATCACATCAAGGATAAATCGATGTAATAACTTATTTTTAATATTAGAATTGATTTAATAAATTATTCGTAATATTAACTGTTGATACATCGGTGATGTATCAATATTTGACTAAATTGTTTGGGTTTTTTTGGATACTTTCGATATTCATAAATTAAATGCGATAGTTTTCGATATTTAAAATACGATAAGTCAATATTTACTATATCTTCTATATGATATTAAGCGCTATATAATTTTTAATACATCACACCTCTTGAAAAACATTTTTCCTACATTTAAATCCTATATATAAAGATATCTGTAGGATTGCAAAAGATTTCTTAGCAATAATCGATAAAAATATCTTCAAAATATAAAACAAATATATATAAAAATAATGCAGCTCCTTTTAAGGGGACCAAGTACTGTAATCATCGATAAACAACAGCATGTTGGCTGGTGGGAAGGCTTGGGTTGGCAGGATGCGGAGAAGGATGCTCGGTTAGCACACACACAAAAAACACAACAGATATGGATATGAGAGGAGCACTTACTTACCCCTGCCGCCCTCCGTGCGATAGTACTGCGACTGGGCGGCCATTCCAGAGGCGACGCCGCCACCACCATTGGCAGCCACAGACTCAGGCTCATCCGGCTCCGGAGCGGTGTTCTGGGTGTCCAGCATGTTGATCATGCGCGGCGGTTGCTCTGTGATAGAAAAATATATTTAATATATATATAAAATAAAAAGAAAAAATATAATATTTATTGAGTTTTTACTCACTGATGCAGGGGGCAATGTGGGAGCGACTCTGCTGGTAGCCGCGGGCACAGCGGTTGCAGGTCAGCCCGGTGACGCCGTCCTTGCAGGGACATTGACCGCTGGTGCTATTGCAGATCTTGCCAGATGATCCGATCGGATGGCACTCGCAGGCTGCAACACAGAGAGAAAAAGAGCATAGGCAATTAGCCGGGGAATACTACATACTCTATATAATATAGCTGCGATCGAGGGACACGATGCAGATGCTGCCTGTTGGCAGCTTTTCGGAGCGTGCTGAGAGCTTAATGGACGCGGTCCGGCACTTCAAAGACCGGGACCGGAATCGCCGCCAGAATCGCCGCCAGAATCGCAGCCAGAATCGCCAATTGCCAATCTGCTGGATGCAGCCCACTTGAGTTTTACTTAAAGTCTTTCAAGTTTTGAATTTTCCCGGCCACCACCCGTGATTTCCACCCGTCCTGACCGTTTATGAGCCGTGGAAATGTGCATTAACAGATCCATTGTCCGTCCGCGCACGGTTAATTGCAAATGAGAGTGCAAATGGGGCCCATTGCCCAGTATTCGCCCCTTTCCGAGGCATGAATATATATATAAAAAAATATATATGAGCAAAAAGCGCACCGGAAGGCAAAATAAGAATGAGAGAGAATGGAACTTTATCCTTTATTTCCACTTGTATGCCATTCTTGTCCTTAATTTCGGGTTCTTATTCAAGTTGTATGTGTATGTATAAATGTGTCTGTGTTACAGGGGACTTTGCGGTTCGCCCCGCCTTGCTCCCCCTGGGTTGTTTAGTTAATAAGCCGCTTTTGGCCACATTTAATGGGTCCTTGCGCGCTGACTCTTGGCCAAAAGCTGTTGCATATTTAAGCATTTCATTTGTGTGTTGCTGGGCTGGCAGGTGGGTGTGGCAAGTGGCACAGCTGTGGGTTATGTTCCCAGTAGTTAAAGGTGCTTGTCAAGCTATGAATGGACAGACACAATGCACTTAACCCTTTTGTTATGGGAAATCAACAAGAATTTAATGTGAACTTTGACTTAGGACCTTCGAAATCAATAAATCTGATATGTAACTGATTGTTGGATGATTTTTATTTGAAAAAAATCGATATTAAATCGATTAGTTTCAATGTTTCTGAGCTTCATGGATTAACTTAACTTTTAAACGAAGTAAGTAAAGAATTTTACGTTAAAAATTCTATATTAAATTGATAAATCTAAGTAAGAAACTTAATTAATTAAAATTTAATATAAAATCGATAGAATGGAATATTTTCCGATATATCTTATTTAATTTACCCTTTCAGTGTCCCTTTTTAAGCTTCCCAGAGTCCTGTGGGACCCCTTATGGCCATCAGTTATTAATGGGTTAACTAGGCCTGCACTTCATCTTGTTCTCACCCCTCTGGACATCTCACTCCCACTACCTCGCCCCGCAACCATTCAGTGTTCGCTTCGTGCGTGCGTGCAACATTTGGTAATTTAATCCGATTTACAATAAATTAAATGCGATTTATATGCACACAGTGACACATCCGGATGATAACAACAACAGCAATAATAACAGCAACAACAGCAGTAGCAGCCATGACAACAGCAACAGACAACAATAACTTGCAACAACAGCAACACGAGCAACAATTTGGTGTGTCCATTGTTGCCTGCAGGGCCTCCACCAGAACACAGAGTGTGCCGAAGAGCACAGTGTGTCGAATGGAAATAAATCCATAAAATGTTGTAAAATAATATTTACAAAATAGTAAACTCGAAAATAAATTAACAAAATAATAGTATAAATAAATTATTTGTAATAATAAGCAAAGGTTGTAAGCAACATTCATGTTGATGAAGCTAGAAGGCTGCTAATGTTGCTGAAGCAACAAGGCTGCTAATGTTGCTCAACATGTTCCTGGAAATATTTACTTAGCGACATTGCAATGGATGATGCTAATATTAATTTAATGAGTTCTTTTAAACGTAAAAAACGTACTAATAAATCAGTAAAAAATTATAAATAAATTAAAGATATTAATTATTATATACAAAAGATTTAAGTACAAGTTATAAGCATGCTCAACTGGGGCAACAATTATGTTGCTAAAGCAGCAAAGTTGCTCAGCTTCGGCAACAATTATGTTGCTGAAGCAGCAAAGTTGCTCCGTTTGCTCAGCATGTTCCTGGCAACATTTACCTAGCAACAATGCATATAGCAACATATGGAATAGCCAAAGTTCTTTGAAACGTATTTCGTAGCTATTATAGGCAGGTTTTGCATAAAAAAAATTAAAATTCCTTGGCTCAAATGCCTTGGCTTAATGCTTTTACCACTTTTACAATAATAAATTTAATTCCTGGCTTCTGTAAATCCATTTCATGAGAAAATTGCACATAAACAAAAGTGATTTTTGTGAAAATCTTTGGTCACTGTGCGACATACTGGCTATTGGGTCGGAGGGGACTTTGGGGTCCAGCAATTCGAGTACGAGTACGACAACAATATGCGAGTTGTGCGACGCGCTATCTGCGAACAGCGGACCATCCAGCCATGGGATGTGGCCGAGGATATGGGATATGGGACATGGGACTTTCAGCTCTCGGGATATTGTTAAAATAACCAAGCCAGAAAAAGCATCAGGCAGGCGGTCAGAGGCAGGGGCAGGGGCAGAAGCAGAGGTAGTGGGTGAGTTGGGAACGTGAACGAGTTCATTACGCATCCCATATCAGTGGATTGGCATATCCCCGTGTATTTCGCATCCGGACCCCATATGCTCTGGGTCTGGATTTCCCTCTCATTTTCCATTGGGAGATTTTTTTTTGCATTTTTTTAATGCCAGCTAAAGATTATGAATTTTCATTATAACGAGGCAACAGAGAGAGAGAAACAGAAACCATGCCACTCTTTGAGTAGCTTCATTTTCGAATAGTGGCGAATCCACGGTCCATTTGCATTTCTATTTAATTAAGGAGGGCACCGATCTCTCCCGTTCTGATTCAGGCTCGTTCCGGGGAAGCCTTTCGTCAGCTCCTCCTCTTAGTGCTTGGAGCTGGAGGATGAGATGGTGGAGTAACCCACAGCGACCCAGTTTCGTTTTGGACAAAGGAACAGAGCCCACTACCGCTGGCTTATCCAGATGGATTCAGGTCAGGGTTTTTTTTGTAATGAATGAGAGCTCCTAATGACACAGATGAATCACTTACTACTCGGCGTGAATCAAGATCAGGTCTGGGTAATTTTTGTTATTCGATTTACTATACCGTTTTTGCAGGTTTATTTAGATCGAAATGAGCCCTCTTATTTACTAGTTTATACTATTTTTTTAAAGAAAGCTTTATATTTGTGCTTCTTTAACCTTATTTATGTTAATAATTATGATTGATTAAGGTACAAAGGTGTAATTTAATGTCATTGTTCACTCATTCAGGGACTTGACACGAATACTTTGCAATTACCTCATTTGGGCAGGTAAATTTACATTTTTAATTATATTTTCATACCCTATTTTATTTTTATACCCTTGCAGGGTATTATAATTTCAGTCAGAAGTTTGCAACGCAGTGAAGGAGACCTTTCCGACCCTATAAAGTATATATATTCTTGATCAGCATCAACAGCCGAGTCGATCTAGCCATGTCCGTCTGTCCGTCTGTCCGTCTGTCCGTCTGTCCGTCTGTCCGTCTGTCCGTCTGTCCATCTGTCCGTCTGTCTGTTTCTACGCAAACTAGTCCCTCAGTTTTAAAGCTATCTGAATGAAACTTTGCATATAGTCTTCTATATGCTCTCACTGCTATATATGTCGGAACGGGCCGGATCGGACGACTATATCATATAGCTGCCATACAAATGTTCGATATATTTTTAGAAAAAAAATTATAACTTTGCTGTTTTTCAACATTTTTGCACCATTTTTTAGATATGGCCACTCTATATTATTTAAGAATTTTGGTAAAAATTTTATGAAAATCGGACGACTATATCTTATAGCTGCCATAGGAACGATCGGGAAATTAATCGAAAAAAATTATAACTTCGTTGTTTTTCAACGTATTTTCATCTACTTTAAGTTATAAGCTTTTTTTATTATTCTAGAATTTTGGTATAAATTTTATAAAAATCGGACAACTATATCATATAGCTGCCATAGAAGCGATCGGCAAATGTATAAAATATGTAAAGCTGGGAATGTAAAACTGTAACTGTCAAACTGTAAACATAATAAGTATAGGTAAAATGTAATGAAACTCTGTTTTGTGAGTGTTTTCAGCATTTAAATCTATAATATAAACATCGAAACCAATCTGCAAGGGTATAAAAACTTCGGCGTGCCGAAGTTAGCTTCCTTTCTTGTTATATTTCAAAAATCAACTATTCTGCTGTATGACTCTCATTTGTTTATATAAAAACGAACAGGTCAGCTCTCAACTTCGACATATGCTGGCCATTTTCCACTTCCCATTTTCCATTACCATTTCCAGGTAGCCTTAAAATTCATTTGCACTTAGTATTTATTTAGCTTGGCTCTTTGGGCTCTCCTCTCCAACAAAAAATTAATTAGGCACACACTACAAGCACACCACCCACATCCAGCACCCAGCAACCACCACCCACTACCCACTACCCACTCCGAGAGTGTTTTTACACACACAGAGAGGGAAACGAGGAGGCACTGGGCCTAGTGTAAACATCATAAAGCAAATCAAGCGCAATTTGTTATTGTTTATTTCAACTTTGCGCAAGCAGCCTCCTCCTCCCCCTGCTCCTCCTCCTCCTGAGTACTGAGTACTAACCACCGGGAGGAAAGTGCGTTACATAAATTCACCGCAAAAGTCTCTTTCTTGGCCATCAATTGCCATAAAATATTACCCCAAAATTTTCTAGACCAACCAAGGAAAAGAAGACCTCAAATGAATAAAAAATATTAAAAAAAAAAAAATAGACTCGACTGGGGGGTACTGTGTACTTAACGAAAATTAATTAATTAAATTAGGTAATTAATTAATAATACTTCTAAAAAAATCTTTAAAAATATTTAAATACAGGTTTAAATAAGGTTAAGTTCCTATATGCCTCTCCTAGTGCTGGATATCGAAAAAAGGCAGCCAAAAATTGTTGGCCATAAAGAGCACAGCTGCCAACAGTTGAGGAGGCTTTG